TCACATTAATCTCATTCTAATTCCACTTTTATTGGATTTCAACTGTTTCTTTTTTTTCTTGCAGACTTGGGCCTTTGACAATACTGTGTGGTGAAGAGGAATGAAGAATGCACCATTGTTCCCCATCCATTTCTTATAACCTTTTATTTCTGATCATGAGAACTGGAAACATTATGATATGAAATGTAAAAATTGCATTTGAATAGTTTTCCAGGCTAAAGAGCAGGAGCTTTAGATGTCCTGCAGATACATTCATTTCTGTTTAATGAAGATATTTTCCCCATGTTAAATGCCCAGCTTTAGCAACCTCCCCAAAAATAGTGCCCTCCAGATATTTAGGAATTGAACTTCCATAAGCAGCATCTGGGTCAAAGTTCAGGGAGGATAAGAAATATAATCCGAAACAACAGGAGGGCACCAGGTTGGTGAGGCCAAAAAATGACACAGCATCATGCCATGTATTCAGAATCTAGGGTTTTATTTATTTCTTTAGAAAGAGAATAAGCATATGCCACCTTCCATAATTTTGTTTCAAATACTGTCTACAAGTGTAAATTTCCCCTTATTCTCCTAGAGTCAGATATTGCTGATTTTTTTTTTATGAGTTGACCATTTCTGTGCCAGTTTTGTCACAATATTCATTCTCCTACTTGTACATCAAACCTTAAGAGCGCTTAAGACATCGTGAATTATGATCATGATCATTAAGTTCATTTGAGCTTACTCCCAGGTAAGTGTGTAGGATTACATCCTCAATAAATATTTCAATTTAAATAGTTAAGCTTGACTTAAATAGCAGCTTTACTTCCACACCCATTTTTCAGGGGGATTTGATGAGTTGTAAAACACAATTCAGTGTGGTATATCCCGTAAAGAAGACTGAGAGATCAGAATGAAAGTAGTTGTGTTTCTTGGAGCTCTTGGAAATCCATATCTAAACGCCTGTTTAACAATTGATTTTTGCCCCCCCAACACACTTAGAGAATAGATTTTCCTTCTTCCCTTGACCTGACCTCTGCATCTCAGCCACACCTTTGATCAGCATTTGAGGCATTGCTAGGACTGCAGTTATTTTTATTGATAATAGTTTAGTGATTACTTATTGTAATTGTTAAGAATGAATTTCTGTTTAATTATTATTTGCTATGTTTTGAGAGTTAATTTTATTGTATACTATTATACAGTGGTACCTCGGGTTACATATGCTTCAGGTTAAATACGCTTCAGGTTACACACTCCGCTAACCCAGAAATAGTGCTTCAGGTTAAGAACTTTGCTTCAAGCATAAGAACAGAAATTGGGCTCCGGTGGTGCGGCGGCAGCAGGAGGCCCCATTAGTTAAAGTGGTGTTTCAGGTTAAGAACAGTTTCAGGTTAAGAGCGGACCTCCGGAATGAATTAAGTACTTAACCTGAGGTACCACTGTATTCTAACAGATTATTGAATAGTACCGTATTTTTCGGCCCATAGGACGCACCGGCCCATAGGGCGCACCTAGTTTTTTTGGGGGGGAGGAATAAAGAAAAAAAAAATTGGGATGCAGGCAGCTCTTCGTAAGCCGTGGGAGCCCAGCGTGATGTCGCGCCGGGCTCCCATGGCTTGCGGAGAGCTGCGCAAAGCCCAGGGCGCGCTCTGCTGCGTGCCCCGGGTTTCGGGATGCAGGCTGCTATCCGCAAGCCTAGGGAGCCCGGCGGGAACTCCCGCAGGCTGCCAAGGCTTGCGGATAGCTTCCTGAAGCCTGGAGAACGAGAGGGGTCGGTACGCACCGACCCCTCTCGCTCTCCAGGCTTCAGCGAAAGCCTGCATTCGCCCCATAGGACGCACACACATTTCCTCTTCATTTTTGGAGGGGAAAAATTGCATCCTATAAGGTGAAAAATACGGTACGTTATTTGATATAAATTGTTCCAATTAAAAGTTAGGTTTTATTATGACTATATGTATTGAATCAGATTATTATAAGGTGTGTGTTCTTTGTTGTACATTTTGTTGCTGTAAGATGCCTTGTGTATAGTAATATAGAAATGTCGTCTGCAAATTAAAAGTGAAATGAATGTTTTAATCTTGTAACCCGCTATAGGAATAGGGTGAAGGGCAGAAGTGTCATCATCACATCACATCTCTTATCCTATCCTGTTCTATTGAAACCATTTGTGTGTGTGTGTTCAAATTAATGTTATGAGACATTCAACAGATACCATGCTAAGCCTTCCTAACAATTTGCCCATATCAGCCTCCATTCTTGCATAGGAGGTTGACACAGTCCTAATTCCATACTACAAAAAGAAACAGTAAGGATTCATAGAATCATAGAATCATAGAATCTTACTCTTACTGTCAGCTCTTACTGTCAGGAAGTTCTTCCTAATGTTTAGGTGGAATCTTCTTTCTTGTAGTTTGGATCCATTGCTCCGTGTCCACTTCTCTGGAGCAGCAGAAAACAACCTTTCTCCCTCCTCTATGTGACATCCTTTTATATATTTGAACATGGCTATCATATCACCCCTTAACCTCCTCTTCTCCAGGCTAAACATGCCCAGCTCCCTTAGCCGTTCCTCATAAGGCATCGTTTCCAGGCCTTTGACCATTTTGGTTGCCCTCCTCTGGACACGTTCCAGTTTGTCAGTGTCCTTCTTGAACTGTGGTGCCCAGAACTGGATACAGTACTCCAGGTGAGGTCTGACCAGAGCAGAATACAGTGGCACTATTACTTCCCTTGATCTAGATGCTATACTCCTATTGATGCAGCCCAGAATTGCATTGGCTTTTTTAGCTGCCGCGTCACACTGTTGGCTCATGTCAAGTTTGATTCATCAGAGTGAAGTTGAACCCAAATAGCTTTATCACCACAAGCAGCTCCATGAACAGACATAACATAGAGATCCCACAGACTATCTCCCATGAACTGAGAAACGCAAGAAACTGCTCTTTAGTGAGTCACACCATTGACTCATTTGGTTCAGTTTTGTCTACATTAGCTAGGAGGGGCTTTTCTGGGTTTTAGGCAAGAGTCTTTTCCAGGCCTACTTAGAATTGCCAGGACTTGAATCTGAGACCCTCTGCATGCAAAACATATATTCTACCAGTGAACCACTGCTTGTCACCAATAGCACAATGATTTGCACAGTGTCTGTCATGTCCCTCAATCACCAGTCACATTGTCCATGCGGGAACTTACACAGTATTACACACCATTCCTTTTTCTGCATCCCCTTCTATACAAAAGTCAAGTGTAGTAATATGATAAAGAAGGCTATACAACACCAACAAATTTTGCATGTATTCTTAGTCATCTGTGGCCATGCTGTCCACTTCATGTGGCAGCTCAGCCTGAGCACAGCTCCTAATTTCCGAGATCTGCAGAAGCTACACATACCAGTGGTGCTGAAAGGGAAGCTGTCAAGTTGGATTTAGAATTCAGAAATTATGTGTATTTTCAAATCCCTATTCCATACAGCAGCCACTACAGATTTTAATTTTCTTTTGAAAAGCATGAGGCATCATGGCAAATAAACATTCCAATATGTGTGTAAATATCAGTCTGCTCATAATCATAACTATGGCATATGGGACCACTCTTTCTGATAAAATATTTAGTGATTTGCCAAAACAGAAGTTAAGGAAATAAAGCTTTCTGGGCTAAAGCAAACCCCCAGTGTCCGTTCACAATGTGCCTGAAGTATGACCTACAGAGTCAGACCAGCAGTTGCCAAAGGTGAGCACAAGAATGTCATTCTGGAACTTCTGGAACTTCCAGGTTTGACGAGAAGAGAACCCTAGGCTGCAATGCTAACTCCACTCAACCAAGAGTAAGTCTCAATGAATTAAATGGGATTTACTTCTGAGTAGACATGCTTAGGGCTGAAGTCTAAGTATCTGAGCAACAATATATGTTAATTGTCCCAGCCCTTTAAGCCTTTTCAGTGGCATTTGTGCTTAAACATTGTTCTGAATATTTTAGTCCAAATTTCCACCATCTTTCTGTGACTATGGCCTTTCAGTACTTTATGACAGTTTCACTTTTTAATGTATTAATTGTAGAATTCATACATAGACCCTTGAAGTAGGACAGGTGTAATTTTTGTAAATTATATATTGTAATTTTTGCTTTATTTGTAATATGATTTTGCATATTTGTTTGTTGTGTTGTTACCTGCAGGGGAAACATTTTTATGATGAAGGGTGGGGTATACATTCACTAAATAAACAGGCAGGGTTTAATCAAGCCAAATACCATTTCTGTAGAGTCTGGTGATTTGGGAGGGCTTAATCAGAACTGCAACGGAAACTATTTTCAGATATTAATATAGTTTCCCTACAACTCAGATAGCACAATTTCATATTTGGAGGCAGTAAATCAGCACATTTTAAATCTGCCACAAAATGTCATTCATAAATAACCAACAATATTAGACAAGTCACATAGATAGATGGAACAGAAATTTCAGTCTTAGGTACAAATTCTGTACCTATTGGTAAACCAAAATTATAATGATATGTAGATTATGTATTAAATATTTATGTATTAAATAGTGGGTGGCGCTGTGGTCTAAACCACAGAGCCTAGGACTTGCCGATCAGAAGGTCGGCGGTTCGAATCCCCGCGGCGGGGTGAGCTCCCATTGCTCGGTCCCTGCTCCTCCAACCTAGCAGTTCAAAAGCACATCAAAGTGCAAGTAGATAAATAGGTACCGCTCCAGCGGGAAGGTAAACAGCATTTCCGTTTGCTGCTCTAGTTCGCCAGAAGCGGCTTGGTCATGATGGCCACATGACCCGGAAGCTGTACGCCGGCTCCCTCGGCCAATAAAGCGAGATGAGCACCGCAACCCCAGAGTCGGTCATGACTGGACCTAATGGTCAGGGGTCCCTTTACCCTTTACCTTTAGATTCACTTTGGGTTGCCTTGGGCAAGATATAACAACTAACACATTTAATAAATAGTTGTAATCATATTAATAACAACAGTTGAAGTGTGTAGATATTAGAGTCTTTGAATGCCATTGATTCTTGTCCACTGCCCTGCATTCTGAAGAAACTCCCCCAACCCTGAACATATTTTTGGTATGACTCTTCTCCTGCATCAAGTCCCTAAAAGAGATGTAAAAAAGTGTTTATAAATAATTGCACAGCAAAATAGAATATAAGCTATTCAATTTCCAACCGCAAACATTGCTAACCAAAGTAGGGGGAAATTATGAGCATGGCAAAACAATGTAGCTATTAAACCATGTACAGACCACAGTGATTGAGATGGTGAATGAATAGACTTTGTGCATGTCGCAAAACACCCGCATTGACCTCTGTATACATTCTGGAACTCTGTGGCTTTTGAAAGCCACCATTAAAGTTTGCCACCCAGACCTTCTTTAAAAGGTGTGAAAGACTAATGATATAATAAGCAATTCATTCACATTTTAGAGAGGTTGCAGAGCAATTAAGCCTCTACGCTGTAGCCCAAATTTGCATAAATAAATGCATGGCTACATGAAAAGGGGAAAATCTCACATTGTGAACTCCTGTATCGTGAAGTCATTATGTCCAAATTTTCCTTCAGAGAAAAGGAAATTGGGAATCTGGAAAGGGGACTAGCAACATTTCACTCAAAATCTCTTAATTTCTTTATGAGAACAAGCAGAAGACAGACAAATTTGATTTGAACAGCCATGCTGTGCTCTGGTTTTTAGAGAACTATTAGCAATGTAAGTAAACATTCCAATGGTTTCAGACTGATGCAATAAGCTAAGATACGGCCATATAATTAGTGAATCAGTTGAATTAGATTGCTGTGAGAACTGTGGTAGACCCATATTCGGGGGCTATTTTTTCCCATTTCTGTAACACACCAAGCCTGTGTTATCTGACCATACAGTTGCATGTGTATGCATTTGCTGTAAAGGCGTAACTCCATTGGGTAGATCAGAATCCTCCCACAGCATAGCCATGGTAGCAATTTAACTGTGCCCTGTGCTTTTCTACCAGTCATCTGAATGGTAGATTCCTCCTCCTTACACAGCCAGTCAGACTGATTACAGCTGAATCGGGAACATGGTAAGCATTAACAGAAGTTTCCCCTAAATGATCTCCTCTTCATTTGTCTCACTCTCCTAAGGCACACGGAGCTAATCATGTAGAAAGAGTACTTTCTTGTTTCTTATGTGATCTTTGGCCATGGCTTGGCGTAATTCTCTTCTCTAATAGGCAATGAAAAGGAGTTATAGTGCTGTTGGCAAAGAAACTAATGTTAGAATGTCACAAGCTAAATGGATCTGCCGTGGAACTTAAAAGGGATGGTGAGCATCATTTTAACTAGAGAGGAGTTATTGCTAATCAGAATAGCTAGAAATAGCCCTGTATTGCAAATTACCGGTTCTGAATAGAATCCATTGAGAGAATCCAAGCTCACATCAGGCTCTTTGAGAGGACAAACTGTTATTACGGAAACAACTCTAAATTTTAGAGCCTACAATACTATCAGTGAAATCCAACACAGAGTTAGGCACTGGAAATTTTAGATCCCAGATTACTATCAGCAAAGTTACATACACTTAAGACAATTGATTTCAGTGGCCTTAAGCACACCTAACAGTGTTGGTTGGGCCTATATAATGTATTTTGCCAGGTCTCTTCCCCTTCAAGTCTAGTCATTCAGAGCCTACAAATTAAACATACATTATGTATACATTGATTACCTAGCTTCCTTTTTAGCCGCGCGCAGCCTCTCCGGCGGCTATGGCAGAAGCCAAGACAGCCAGAGGGATGGATCCCGCTGGCTGTCTTGGCTTCTATGCTCTTTGGGGCTTGAGGGGGAGACCCGGGCTTCCCCCGGGCTTCCCCCGGCAGCCCTGAGAAGCTCTGGGAGAAGTGGACAGGCTGTGCGTAGCCTGTCTGCTGCTCTTTGGGGCTGGGGGGGGGAATAATATTTTTTTCTTGATTTCCCCCTCTAAAAACTAGTTGCACCTTATGGTCAGGTGCGCCTTATGGAGCAAAAAATATGGTAAGTACCATGATAATTCCTTCTTTTGTAACATATCTATAAGTATCAGTGATCATAGCATAGCATAGCATTATGTTGTCAGTCATACAGTATAGAAGTCCACATTTCTAATGTAGATAATATTCAGTTTATGAAAAAGAAAAATATTACAGGAGCAATTATGAAGGAAGATACAGAAGGAAAGAACACGAAAGTAGCTGCTAAATGTATCAAGATGGAACAATGTTCAGTCTAGTGCTATGTATGCTGATTGACAACAGTGGTATTAGTTATCAAGCCCAGCTCATTTCCAGCCAAGCTGCTTAAGATCCCTTTACGTGAAAAAACAAGTAACCTAGAACCATTCTTGGTAAGAAGTATCACTGGTGGATATGTCCTTGACCGGGGTGTAGGTTAAACACGGAATGACCAATATAACCTGCACTGGTTCTGCAAAACCGTGCTTTGAGTTCCATTGGGATATGAATTCAGTTTTTTCTCAAAGTCTGCTGCCAAATGGCCACACATGCACAAGAGCTTTAGCTAGGGCCTTTGTACCAGAGTCCACTCTGCCACCCAGAAGCTGATGCTAAACATTTGGTGACCCTCTGGAATGGCATTTTATGTGGCACAATCTGTCAGGAAACCGGCAAAATTACACCTTGAATTTTCCTGGAAACACTTTGGATCCTGGGCATAATGCGATGTGACCAGAGTTTGTGTTGGTAATTCCCCAGATATTTTGGCCATGTGTCACTCAGTTATTCTACACCCTAGCACAATTTCAGGATGGTAAACAACCTAGCAAATGTTATTCCAATTTTTTAAATTACCAGGAAGAACTAGAAATATTTCTTTTAAAGTGTCACCACAGTGACAACTGTACTAAACAAAACCCTTTTTGTGCTAGAAGGTAGTTATTAAACAAAAATAGAACTAAGAATAAGCCTTTTTTTATTTAATAAAAATTAACACATCTAGGCAGCATGAAATATTTGCTGATTTGGGGCAGGTGGCAAAAATTATAGATTATGTGGAGAAAGTCACACATGCACAGAAAAACAACTGTTTTGATTGAAAAGAATCTGAGTTCCATGTTTATGTTAGATAATTCCTTGTCATTAAATTATAGGTTGCATTATATTCATTAAGGGCAGTGAGAGGGCATTGAAGCATAGCTAATCAATGTGTTTCCAGAAATCAATGTGAACTAGACACCCTATAATTTAATTATAATTATTCTCTGAATCAAAGCATTGTTATTAACTATAGAAAATTGTCATATGCTTATAAATATTGATATTTACATTATTATTACTGTTGTACAATTATGATTATTGTAAGACAAAATCAGAATAGAACTGTGTAAAATTGAAAAAAGAACCCTTTTAGTCCACACTAAATATAAAAAAGCAATAGAAATAAAAACGATGGAATCAGACATAAAAAGATCTGGATGTGAAGAAGGAAATTAACTGAACATATGAATGAAGGGGACAGATAGGGATGGCGATAGAGACAGGTGGTCTTCAGCATCAGTTGAGATTGGAAGTGGCATTGACAACCATATGTGGAACATGTTCAGAAAAGTTCTTTTTCAGGAATTCCCAATGTGCTTGTAATTGCAACTTTTTTACTCCCGCTAAGATTAACATCAAAGCTATAGAAGAAATGTAGAAGACCACAAAGCTTGTATCGTTTTGAAAATGAGCAAATCTTTTCCTATGCCTGACTCATTAAAAGTAAGTATAGAGGACACATTAATTGAGCAATAATTCTGAAGCAGACACATATGATCTGACCTTCAGGGATCAGTCCACAGATGCACTCCAGAATCAGCATACTGCTTGATCTCCACATCCTTCTGGATTTTGTCTGTGTCATTTTACATCATCAAGACTTCTCACTCCCAGGATGCCTTGCTGCATTGATTTCATTACATGTGATGCAAAGGTTCACACTAGTTAGCCACTGTTATGATGCTGAAATTATTTTTTAAAAAAGAAAAACAAGAAAAGAAGGTAGGCAGGCCTGAGACCACCTCATAAGCACTCACAACCCAGACCATCTAGTATTTTTAAATGCACATTTAAAATGGGATGCACAGAAATGGAATGGTATGGGCTTTGGTTCCATTCCTATGACAAACAAGCCTGGCACATGTATTTTCATTGGGACCATTCCTATGTACTTCTCTATGCAACTGAGATGGTGCTGGCCATCTATCTGGTGTCCCCAGTATGCAAACATCATGTTTAGATAGGGGTCTATGCATGTAGAGCTGGATGTGCATGGACACATTGTCCACACTACTGCTGTTTACAGCACCCAACTCAACCTGATCTGCAGCCCTAGCACAGCCTTGCATATTATTATTATTTAAAACCCTAATGAAGCATGTGGTCTTTCCGACAACATGTTTAACCAGAGTTTAAAACCTTAGTTCATTGTGAGGTTAACAGCATGGTGTGTGTGTGTGTGTGTGTGAGAGAGAGAGAGAGAGAGAGAATAAAATAACAGTTCACACAGGTGAATTGTACACTGGATCAGGGCTACTGTTATTTCACCCCTGAAAATAAATTCCTGTGGGGCCTTTTTGTATCATCTGGAAATGCCATGAAAACATCCCTTTACCCATTCAGAGGATTCATGCCTCAGTGCTAAGGTACCGTGGGGAAAAAATAATAATTGGAAACTGTTCCATCCATTAGGAAGCAATAAGGGTCCAAATGTGTAATTTTGATGGAGCATCCTGCTGTGTGTTACATCTGCTTAAAGTTGCAGGCTTAACAGCCCTGATTTTGTGAAATTTGACAATATTGAGGTCAGATCAATGATATCGTAACATATGGCCTCGAGGAATCTGTCTGAAAGAAAGGAAAAATTGCTGCACTTGTTTATGCAAAAGCAGCTTCAGCCATTGTCAGCTCTTTAGCAGTTAATGATGCCAGAGATGCTTACACAGCATCATAGGCCAAAGAAACAGGGATGGAGGCTTTAAAAATGTAACTAGAACTACGCTAAAAATAACAGTATGACAACAATAACACTGTGTAAAATACAGCTGCGCTGGTCAAATGCTAGCCATTTACTCACCCAGGGGAAGAAGGGGCGGGGGATGGGGAAGGAAGCATTTTCTTCTCTGCCTTGGCAACATGTTGGTCTGTAAGGAAAATTCAATACAGTGAGGACTTGTTCCAAGCCAGTAAAGAAGAACAGGAATCAGAGCAGGAGGGTAGGGAAGGAAAATAATCAAATGACAGCTCACACTGAAACTGCTTGCCTCTGCCAATTGCTGAAGGAAAGAAAGTCCAGCTGATAGGAAAACAGGCTGCTACTCCTGAGATTTTAACAGACATGGTGGGGCTGGAAAGGGTGGGGGAGAGAAAAATAACTCAAGGTTGTGTCATACACCTACAAAATATTGGCTAAAGAGGATAATAGTTACACCCATAGAAATGGCAAGGAAATGGTTAAAAACAAGGCACAAGTCTTCTTCACCTTGTGAATTTATTTTCCCACCTATTTGTATTATGCCCTGATATTTCTCTGAGGAGCTTGCAACGGAAAATATGACTTCAGAAGATGCTTTCTGGGTGGGGCAGAGGTGGGATACTAGTTGCCTGGCAGTAAGTTGCCTACTAGGAAGAGAGACGATGTTCCAGGGAGACTGGCGTTTTCACTTGGGGGCCTGGCATGTGTCCTGGGGGCCCAGCATGGTGGGGGGGTGCACGGCGTGTGTCCAGGGGGGGCCATGATGGTACCCCCCTCCCCGATAGTGCCAGGGTGGTGCACTCTCTCCCCCCCCCCCATTTCTCCACCAGTGTCCCCACCTCCTGCATTCCCCCAAAAACTATGTAGGTCAGGAGAACAGTGGGGGGGGGGCAGGAGAGGGGAGATAATTCCATCCAGCAAGCAGAAATGATTGCACTGGTGGAAACATTGCCTTAGTGTGATGCTACATTCCACCCACAGTATTCTCCAGAACTGTTATGCAAAGAAGGGAATTAGGGGGAGCTAAATAGTTGCTGTTTTTGCTTTTTCTTCTTCTTCCAAAGACCGGAAGAAATCTACAAAATCTTGAAGGATTGAAGCATTGTTGAGTTTCCCACTATTTTCCAGTGATAAATACAGACATTCCAAAGGGATGATCCCATTTCCATTACAAACCTTTGTCTTGTATTAAATAAAAATATATCAAAATTTAGTATTAGGTGCTTTATGGTTTCAACCTTTTCAGTATTCCATACTTTGATTGCCCTGCCCTTCCACTCTACTTACAGTTTACAACCTTACAGAAGAGCAGATACAGCACAATTGTCCAGCCAAACCCCCCCAAAATATAAAAGATCAAACAGAAAAGGTCAAAAGTTTGCATGTCTATTTTCTTGCTAGGTATAATTAAACAGGCATCAAAATTTATAGACCTCATTTGCTTTGATGAAGCATGTAAGGTGAGAAAGGGATAACCTAATTCCAATGGTCTTTATGAGTATGAGGAATTATACTAGGAGCCTACAAAATGGCCAATGGCCAGGGATGATGTGACTTGTAGCCCCACCCCTGTGAAGGAATGAGTTAATTCTCCATAAGTCAGTTGGAATGATTTATTTCTAAGGTACAGCTGCAGAGTGCACATGATGTCCTGATCTCTGTTGCAGTGCAGCTTTGGTAAGAAGCTCATGTTACAGCTTTCTGTGTAGGACAGATTGTGGAGACAGAACTGGAAACAAATTGAAAAAACTGAAGACCATAGACTCAGAGAAATGTGGACTTTGTAGGACTCTGGCAACTTTGTACTACACATTTGCTGAGAACTTTGTTGAATGAAGGACTCTGAAAGCTCTCTCTAGGCTCAGAAAGACTTTCTGAAGCAACTGTGTATAGTTTGTATATAGTTTGTGTTTACTGAGTAAAACAATCTCTGCTGCACTCACATTTGCTTTGGTAAGCTTATTCGCCTTGACTGAACTTCTGACTGCACACAAACACACCATCCCCGCCATGAAAACTTACAAAGTCAACTGTATCTTAACATTTTAATTCAAAACATAAGAATACCTAGAATGTAAATCATGTGAGGACCATCATTTGGTCTTTCCTCATTCTTCCTTGAAGACATAATGCTGCCTGATCTCAAAATATAGACTAGAAAATCAGGAATACACTGTGAGCTCTCATTCTTTCCTCTCATGTGCTCCTTTCCACCTTTTTTCATTTGTTTGATGCTAATTATGGCAAATGTTATTTCTGCACTATATGTCAATGTCTGTTCTTTTCATTTTCTCCTTTTTCTCATCTTAAATTCATATCACTAAATTTCCATATTTGTATTTTTTTTAAAAAAAAACACACCTCTTGATGAATATAAACTGATCTGTAACAATGTTCTCAGTAGAATAAGAATTTTGGCATTCTCATTTTTGACCATTTGGTGGTGGTGGGGGGAATAAAAGTTCAGAAAATTGGGGTTTTAAAACACAATGGGTTCCTCCATGGCTTCCAGAGGCTCAAAACATCAGGTCCTTGACCTCCAACAAATGGAGCATCGTGAAAATGATGTTAACAGGAAGCCTACACACTTGTCTCCACAGCCTACTCTTGAGTGTTTAGTTAGCACATCCACAGGCTGTCTGAAGAAGACTAGAAATATTTTTATCATTTTGCTGGTTTGGGACATTTACCAACTTCAATATGGCATGTGTCCTTTATTGTTAAATTATGCAAATTATTATTGGTTATGTAACAATGGTCATGAAATTTATGAGTAGATAGATCTTTCTGATATATTGACCTATGGACTTTTATAACATGGATGACAAATCTGTGGCCCTCCAGGTGTTTTAGGACTTTCATTGTCCCTGACCATTACCAAATCAGGCTGGAGTTGATGGGAGATGGAGCTCAATGACATCTAGCGGACCACTGGTTCCTCATCCCTGTCTTATAATTGCTGATAAGAGTCTGCACTTAGGCCAGAACTACAAGTGATGTGTACTAGGGGAGTGGTGCTAAAAGCAACGTTCTTAGTGTTACTTTCCCTGCCCCACTTCACCTCACTGGTTGCTTCTGGCAAGGAAGAGATAGGTCAGCATGGGGAGTGCCATTTAGGAAGCAGTTTACAGCAGTCCAGTCTTACTGAATGTCTGCCATTAACATAGAACAACTGGCAAATAATATTAATTGGATTCACTATAATATCTCCTTTATGCTGAAATCTGGCAATTTTCTTTGAGATGTTTTGCAGTCTGAATGGAGTCACGAATGCAGATATGATGGTCTGGCAGAATAGCAAACGCATAACAGCAGGATGTTCTGGAGCAGCTGCAGGTCTGCTGCAAATATTCATCTGCCCCCCACCCCCGCTGGCCGCCCTGCAAAATACTTGACCATAAGAAAATGAGAGAAATGATTAGTTCATCCTCGGTTAGAAGCAGTGCTTGACAAAACAAGGAGTATCTTAATGAAGCAATGCTTAATTTGAAGTGACATTTATGCACTTCGGTGTTTACCAAGTTCTCAGCTACTTTCTCATGTAATTACCTGTCTTAGCAGTGCAGCTTGACAAACTCTGTTATAAAGGAAGAAGCAAATGAGACTATAACAACTGATTTGCCTTTTTTTTTTTTTGTAAATGGTTCCATCTTTAAAATCAGGCTAGATTCACATCCAGAAGAAGTGTTGTGCCAAACTCTGATCCTTGCCCCCCCCCATTCATTCTCTGGGAAAGACATTCACTTTGGATAATGTGTGTGAATTTTAAAGGGGTTGGGGTATGCTTACCTTATGAATGCAATGAGGTGGCCAAGGGATTCTTTTCCACCACCACACCCACCCACAAAATAGGCTTTTAACACCCTGTTAGCACTTGTGCTTCGAGCCCCAAAACCCATCCCGAATGGAAATAAAGACACAGTGGAGACAGAATTTAGTTTAAATGTTAATGGGCAAATTTTGGCCACAACTTTATTAAAATACATAAATGTGACTGGTATTGGTATCAAACTATATCTGGCTCCTACCCCACCCTGCAGGAAGCCTGGAATGGTAAACAACCAGCAGGGGGATCTCTGTCAGTGTATATTGACTGGTGCTCACCCCTGGGGTTCCCAGGGGTCCTGGCATGGCCCTAGCCCCTCTCTGGGCTTTGGATGAGATCCAAACCCCCGGATTCCTTTAACAGAATACCCTATTCATTGGAGGGGCAGGTGATGGCTGCACCTCCCCTCCCCACATTCCCCTAAACCAATGCCTAACCGCCAAACCTTACAAAGTTGTGATGATTGCTAAGAGGTAGGCAAAAACCAAGTGGCCACAGCCAATCTGCCACATTGGGAAAAATTCCTACCTGGCCCCCATTCCAAAAGAGGTGACCAACCGAAGTCCAAAGCAAGGCCAAACATGACCTAATTAATGGGTGGGTGGGCAGGTGTCCCTACGTTGTGCTGCCAAATAGATACCCCCAACCTTGCCACGCTGCTGATTAGCTAAAGGCCACTGGCATAACTGTGACACCACCAGCTTGGAGCGGGGGAAGCCCCAACCACAAGCTGGTTAGGGAAGAGTTTCAGGGCCGAGCACAACATGGACCCTCTGTTAGGAGGATCCAACTTGTAGCAGCAGAAGGCTCTTTGAAGAAAGTATTTAGCATGGCAGGCATTACATGGCATCATATCCAGAAGTGTTGCAAAGCTGGAAGCTTGTCTTCAAAGATCCGTATGCTGTTGTGAGCATGCGAATGGGAGTTTTAAAACCTGTTTTAAAGTGTCTGGGTGTAAAAATGTATACTTTTTTAAAAATGAGACTTTATACACCCCACAATCCTTTTGAAGCTTCTTCATTTCATCACCCCTCAAATGCTTAAAATAAAGACCATTCAAAAGCTTGGCACAACCCTACCCCAATGTAACTTCCTAGTGAAACACTTAAGTTGTAATTCTAGCTTTAAAGACCATCCTATTCCCCCCTTTAAAATGATAGCTTTTCATTTCAGTTTTTAGCCTCTATGGCTGCCTTTTGTAATGGATAATTTGTGGCGAGGGTGGTGGTGGTTATATGTGACTGTGTGGAACGTGTAGTTTGGTTCTTCTAACTGTGGGACTTTGATATTTGTTTTCCTGACATAAAACTGTGGCTTCATCAGGTAGACCTGTTGACTTAAGAAGTTGAGTTTCGCAGAATGCTGTACAAAATGAAATTCTAAATCTGGTTCTAGCTGACTTCTCTTGTGCTCCATACCTTCTGGAAATATTTTGTTATACTTACATGGCTAGAAACACAAATGTGTAACATTCTATCTTGCAACACATTTTTCAAAAATTACCCAAATAGTAAAAGAAACAAAAGGCTTCATAAATATTGTTCAGCTGTGGAAGCAATTGTAGAACAAATTATACAAGAATGATATCAGTGTGGATGATTGCACCTTAGAACAAAGGAGAATGCTCAGTTTTGTCCTGATAATTCTTACAAACTGTTGTAAACATTCCATTTGTTATATAATGAAAGCAAGCACACACACTCATATTGACTTAATCTAAGAACAAGTAGGCATTAATTATTGGTCATTCAAGCATTGCAAAGCATGTATAGTGTTAAGTTGTGGGTGAACATATCAGACGACACAGCGATTCTTCAAACAGTTCTTGTTTATTCACAGGCCAGAACAGAACTGAACTGAAGGGTTCAGCCAGCCTGCTTATATAGAGCTCCAGTACAACGCAACTGTAACAACGTTCTGTAACTATCCAGTCACTGAACGTCACTTTCAATCCCTTACTTGCATATCTGGACCTGAGTGAAAACTATCTACAGTATCCCCCTGCTGGCCCAGGGTGAGAACTTCAGTGCATAACATAGGTTCCTTGGTCAATTTTCTCTCGTATAGTTAAGGTACATGATTTTTTGACATCAGAGAAGTTTAGTTGCTTGTGTGTAAAACTCTAAAACCCACCATAAAAGTGTAAATCACTAATACTGATAACTATGCATGCCACTTTGCTATTTTGTAAGAACACATTTATGACTATATATAAAAATGGAAAGTGCTCCACTACATATCCATGTATAATATGCTTTAGGGTGTTAAAAACTCATCCAATGCCATTTTTAAGAGTACTGAAAATGGCCTGAAAATAGCACAGAATCTAAATACACTTTAACTCTATATTGATTTTGTCACTCTCCTCTAGGATTTTCCCCATTGAGTTGCACTATATAATATACTACCAATAATCAGGCAGGAGAAAGGCCAAAAACAACCTCCCTCGTTTGCATTCTTTTCGTAAAATAGGTTGCTTTTTAAAAATTGTATTCGTATGACATGTGAGAGACAGATATTGAGATAATCAACTCATAGAGAGGGAACAGGGTTGTACTCAGTGGCCCATATCCAACCTTCATATGCTGAGTGAGTCTTCTGTACAGAGCTGGTGTCAGCCTTCTCAAACCTGGTGGCATCTAGATGTTCTGGACTACCGTTCTAGACTATCATTCCTTACCTTACCATTACCCATCTATCTGGAGCTTATTAGAGTTGTAGTCCAAAACATCTGCAGAGCTACCCTATGGACTAACAAAATTTTATTGTATATGTCCCTTTGCAAGTAATCTGTACTTTGCCATAAAGTTAAGTGCGGAAGCCCTGATCAACTCACAGAGACGGGTAAAACCCTCTTCATTTCCGTCATCTGCACAACACTGCTATGGTGCCAGGTTTTATATATAATTTCATAAAACTCATCCAAAGACAGATTTGACAAATATTTATTAGCAAATTAATACATTAAGGAAGCTTTTTAATGACAGTTAACTACCCATTTCTATCAACCACTCCTCACAATTATACTTTTGCTACACATTGTAATTATAGTGCAAGAAAAAGGTCCCATACGCACAACTAACCACTTAGTAAATGATAGGCTACGTTGATAATTGCAAACAAGGTCGAGCTAACAGAATGAAAATACCTTTCTAGGTTCTATAATAATCTTCCCTGTGGGCTGCTCTCCTATTGTATATGCCTCAATTGCTTTAGAATTCAAAAGACAGATTAAAGTAATATTTGCTTGAATTGTTCCTGCTGCCAGCCACAAACCCTATTTTGCACATTTTGAACTAATTATAACCTGTTTATCCCACTTTCAAAGAGAATGTGCTTATTTATTCTATACTATACGATATACGCCGAGCATTTCCATTACCTGCAGTTATAAACACTTACTTGAAAGTATGCCCCATTGAAGAACTCAATCAGATTTAGAAGTACACAAGTATAGGATTGTACTGTTGGTTGTTGTTTAATCAGTTTGTTAGTTATTTGCTGCATAAGGGGTCTTGAAGGGACTTGCAAAATTTTAAGAGCATAAAGATTGACATAAAATCAAAAGGAAGAAAATATGTTATATTAAAAGTGCTACAGTAACTCTTGGTACACTCTATGTTAACCTAAATAATATGTCCAGGTCATATGGAAATGGCTGAGATGATATTCGGGGCAAAATGCTTCAGATTTCAGCAAATATCTGTCACAACCACTTGCACAATACTTTGCCTTGTAAAAAATAACTACCGTGTAAGTGAGCATAGAATTCCCACCCTTGAGGTGATAATAATGATAGATTTTGGGGAACTTTTTGAGGGTCTGGAGAACGAAATTTCATCTATAAAAGGAAATAAGTAAACAGCCCACCCATCTTATTTAGTCTGTTTTACCTGATTCACCATTCCATGGAGAATCTTAGGCACAATTCCCCCCCCCCCGATTCTTTATTTCCCTGTTCCTTTGAAACCATTTTACATGAGTTAATTAAAAGAAAATGGTCACTACAAAATGGGCCCCACTTCTTTCCAGGAATCCATTTTGGGTGCCAAGCAATGCCAGCTGTTCCGTCTTTCATTTTGGAGTGAGTGAGTCATACTTTTGCCAAATAAGCAAATACATAACCAGTCATTAGCATTTGGTGAAATGAAATTCAAATCCTCTTTCAAAAGTGATTCTTTTACACTTAGTATATTTCATTTCTTTTACAATACTTATTCCGGTTTGCCTTACACTTTGTTCCCAGCCAAGCTTTGCATGTTCAGACCTTTAACCCTCCCCCTTTAAAAAAATTCAGACAAGACTCAAATGTTGGTTTGGTTTTTGGAAGAATTTAGGCCTCAACTTTATTGATTACAGCAAGTGAATGGTTGCATAGGCTCTGGTTCAACTAGCTCCCTGCCATTCAGGTAGCGCTGACCCAGGGCACCAGCATAGGTCAGCCTAGGGAGAACACCTGGATAAGCGGAAAGCCAGGAACAGGCTATCTCCGCCACCCAAATGTCCCCCTGGACTCAGGCACGGGCACAACTCCCTCACAGGGGTTGACCAAACCATTGAGTCCCTGGATTCCTTTAACGGAATACCATTCACATAGGGATGGCGAGAGCGTTCTCCCATCCCTATCACCTGAACCAGAGCCTTTCTGCAACCTTTCAAGTTGTGACGATTTGCTACACAGCAGGTGAAACCCAAATGGCACCAGCCAATCAGCCAAGTGGGGAAAATTCCTGCCGTGCCCCTGTCCCAATGACAGATGACACACAACGGCATAGCAAGGTCAAGTGTACAGCCCTAAACATAGGGAGAGGTGGGCGGGTGGTCCAATGCATGCACCGAAAGAGGAAGCTCTGGGTCATGTGCATAGATACATATAGGTCCCTTGATCCGTTTAGCCTGCGTCCCATTGGCCTGATTAAATCCAGCATCAAGGGACCTACCAATTGGGTGTTGTGGCTAATCAATCAACCCACCCACAACACAGGGTTTGGTTGCCAGGTCTCACCGCAACACATGCCCTCTTTAAGGGAGGACCCGATTTCTCAGAAGGAAGCTCCTCTGAGTTCTGTAGTATTCAACCTGAGGGACTCAGGTGGTGCTGTGGTCTAAACCACCAAGCCTCTTGGGTTTGCTGGTCGTAAGGTTGGCAGTTTTGAATCCATGTGACGGGGTGAGCTCCTCTTGCTTTGTTCCAGCTTCTGCCAACCTCACAGTTCATACCAGCACGAGTAGATGAATAGGTACCGCTGCGGCAGGGAGGTAATGGTGTTTCCATGCACCAGAAGTGGTTTAGTCATGCTTGCCACATGACCCGGAAAGCTGTCCGTGGACAAACGCCAGCTGCCTTGGCCTGAAAGCAGAGATGAACACCACCATAGTCAAATTTGACTGTCCTTTACCTTTAGCTTACATTGGTGCAGAGTTGCAGCAATCCTCTCTTAGAATATGAAAGGAATCCAAGCAAAAAAGCCCAGCCACCCCAAAATTGCTTTACAATTCTACATTACTAATTACTGTGTACTGGCACTATCTGAGCCAATGCTAAAGGATGAACAGATGCTGCTTATCGCACTGCTTTTAAAATAGTATTCTTATTTTACGAGTATTAAGATATATACGGAATGGTAACTTTAACAGAATACAAGAATAATAAAAATCTACAAATCAGATTGGATACCTTGCAAGGGATGTGTAGCATAGATGAAAACTAAGTGAAGTAATGCTAAATTTCTAGATACCCTAAATGACTAGCCCAGGCATAGGGAAACTTGGCCCTCCAGATGTTTTAGGACTACAACTCCCATCATCCCTAGCTAACAGGACCAGTGGTCAGGGATGATGGGAATTGTAGTCCCCAAAACATCTGGAGGGCCGAGTTTGCCTATGCCTGGACTAGCCTATGAGGGAATGTAGTAACAGGGCTGAAAAATATCTGAGATGGGCTTCCATTGCCCAGTAAGAAAAGTTGAAAGAAACACAACCCCTCTTGATTTATTTTTTTGTCAAAATATATCTATGTTGTAAGAAAGTGTGTTCTCCTTCATGGAGAGCACGTTTTGTGGTGGGGTCTACTGAGCCACCCCCTTTGTTGCCAGGCAGGTTCTCCAAGTTGGCCTGGGGGCAGCGATTGGTTTGCTGGGTTGCTGGGGTAAAAGTGTGTTGCAATTTTGGTGGGAGGGGTAAAATGTTTAAATACTCTGCACGCAGCTTGGGGCTTTCTCTCTTGCTGTGTGCAACGGATCACCCGCCCACCCGCCCTAGAGTAAGGGGTTGTTGCGTTGACCTTGCTATGCCTGTCATGGAGTCATCTGCCTTCGAGCAGGGGCCTGGTAGGAATTTTGTCCATCTGGCTGATTGGCTGGGCCATTTGGTTTTTGCCTATTACGTAGCAAATCGTCACAACTTGTAAGGTTGCGGTTAGGCATTGGTTATAAATTGGTGGAGGAGGGGTTAGGATAGGCTGGGCCTGCCCCTCCATGGTTGCTGCGGAAAGGGAATTCCGTTAAAGGAATCCTGGGGCTTGCCATCTTTTCGTCCAATCCCTGGAATGGGACTAGGGCCGGCAAGCCTTTGGGGAGCATGCGGATGAGAATTGAGGGTCTGTGACTCAGCTCCATTTCTCCCCCGACTTGTTTTCCCACACTGGCTTTTGGTGGTGCCCGGAAGTCAGTTCTGTCCCCAGGCGGGGTGGGGGTGGGGGACAGATAGTCTTAACCACTGCCTAAACAACCACTCATGGTTTGTAATTGAATAAAGTTGTGGCCAAAATCATGCCAAAAATCTTAAACAAAAATTACGTGTCTGTTGTGAGTTATTTGGGGGGTGTATTGGGGACCTCGACACGCAATCATTAATTCAAGTGCTGTACTCCATCCTCTGTTTAAAGTGCCCCTGCTCCCCCCCCCTTTCTTTGTAAAAAATAAATCGAATGTTGGAAGGGTTGTTCAGCTGGGTGTGTTTTGTGGTTCCCTTCCCCATACAGGGGAAGAGGAGACCCAGAAGGAATGATTCTGGAGCATGTCCAGTTTTCTTTCTCTTTTGGGGGTACTTTATGGTGCTAATTACAATTTGTAATGTCTCCCGAGGCCCAGAATATTTTAGAGCACTGCTTACTAAAGTATGCATGATGGGTATGCATCAGCCATGGAAAGTGAAAAAAATATAGAATTGAAAGTTTGATAGTAATTACCATTTTCTCCCCATACTCCATATGTTATGAATGGTAACATGGCTCAGGTTTAGCCTTCTAGCCTAGTACTTCTGAAGTAGCTACTATAGCAGAAAATGCAGGATACCATTTCATACGCTTCTGAGGCATCATTTACCCTTTTGTTGGACGAATGAAATGTGTTCTGCGTCTATCATACTTTGTCTGCTGCAGCACAATCACAACTTATATTTTGGCCAGCACAGGAAATTCTGCTGGTCCCTTTCTTCTTAGCTTCCCCTGTTTTGTATTTACTTGTACTTTTTCAGTCAATGAAATGGAAGCATTAGTGCACGTAAAATGTTTTTCTTTCCTTTTTAAGAAATGTTCATTCCCTTAATTTCAACAGAAATAAAATGTTGTTTTAAAAGTCCTTCTAATTTCATTAAATGGCACCACACAGTTCCTACAACATGAATTACTTGTGCGGAATAGCAATTTAAAAAGAGCATTTCAAAGAAATCTCTTTCCAAAAAGCTCTTAATAGAATATTTGTTCAGCTACTGCTGCATGTCAAAAGTGCGCACTCTTTAAAAATCGGAACACATTTGTAATGACTCCAGAACACTGAAGACATGTAGCACAGAACAAAACTCCAGAGAATTCATAATAGCTTTTCTGAGTGCAAAATGGGTCTATAGATAACAATTTAATGTCTTCCTTTCCATCCTATCTTGGATAAATTATTCATTTACCTCTTGTTAGTTAAATATGCATATTTGATGGTGCTTTAAAGAATTAGTAGTAATTTTTTGCAATCAGAAGTGTTTCATTCAGGATCTGAGGATTTCATGAAATTATTATCTCACCCAACCCCAGAGTTCTGCAAAGTATATGCAGGCACATCCACTGTACGTGAAGCTTTTGCTGTAGCTCAGATGTCTGATTTGGTGGCCTAGCTCAGAAGTAGCATTCAACTTATGGTTTAGTGTCATGTGAGCGAGTCTTGCTCTCATTAACGTCCCCTCCACTCTCTTCTTTGGATGCAGTCACAAGGTGGAGACTGGAAGCTTTTGCTTCCACTTTTAGCTAGCTACAGTTGCTACATTGGTTTGCATGTGGATAAACAGTGGTTAATTTTAACTATAGTTGGAGGAACAAGTCAATGCTGTGACAAAGTGGCAAGGCACTTTGAGGGCAAAAATGCTTATCTCCATAATGAGCACTCACACTTTACACTGTGGGTGCCCTTTGCCAGATCGTGCAGGGAACTTACTGGTTGTATGGGCTGGCCTGCCTCTCAGTGTTATTCTTTGGAGGTTCACGCCCAGCCTCAGTTAGTCAATTTACACTGCTGGGAGGTGGGGCCAGTTGCATAAATAGGGGGTGGAGCCGGCAGCAGCCAGGCAGTCGGCTCAGGAGCTTCAGCCACCCACCCACCCAACCCTCCCTTTGTTTAATGTTTCTTGTTTGCAGGCTAACCCTTTTCTTCCTGTTTAGTGGGCGCTGCTACATTCTTTTGACTGGTTGCTGTTGAAGAACCAGGAAGATCCTGCATTGGCAGGTTTTGTCCTCCCTGTAGCAATTCGTCATAACTTTGGCAGTTTAAGGCCTTGGGTGGAATCCTTTAGTCTTTTCTTCCCTATAATGGGTGTGTGTGTGAAGTGCTGACTCACCCCCCCACACGGCAGCGATTCCCGGTTCCCTCTTAAAGGGGTTGTAACATGGGTGTCACTGGCCATACCCTGAAAGATTTTCAGTGAACTACCCTGCGTGCGGGAATATGGGGTGGGCTGCCTGCGTACATGTGTGTCTTGCAGTGCACCCCCATATCCCATTAACCCTGAGGAGCCCCAGTTCCCCCGGCTGGGGGGCTGGGAGGGATACACGCCCAATGCCTAAGCCAAGGTCTTCCACATTTGAAAGTTTAATAAAGTTGTGGCCAAATGTTAATTCCATAGCACATTATCACGAGTCATTATTCCTTTCTGGTGGCCCCTGGGGGCTGGGGCAGTTGCTGCCTGGTCACACAATGTATTGAGAAGCATTGCTATGACAGCTGCTGGGAAAGTGTCTGTCCTGATTCTCTGAAGGCTCTGTGAGTAAGGTGTCCCTGCAGGGGTTCAGGGGAGGAGATGTGGGCCCTCCTGCCTGAAGTTCCACATGTGATGGACCAAGGAGTGGATTGATCCCCTCAAGACAGTCATCAGCAGAAGACAATCTCTCTAAGGGTTCCTGGTTTGGACCCAGGACACCCAAAGATCTAGAATGATTTTCCTTTTGCTGCAAAGGAAATGTTTATGGATACAAATCCAACTCCCAGATTGCACATGTAAAGATGAATGACCTTTTCTTTTAAAATGCAAAGCAAAAACACCAAAATATATTTAAGAAGTAGGGCACTAGAAGCTCCCACAGTCCACCAATCAACATAAGAAATGCAGGAAAAATGGGTGGTTATAAACAATACCCCAAAGCTAAAAATTCCTCATTTTACACATGCACTTATAACTACCAGATCGAAGCCAGCTGCACGATGGTGAAAATCTCTTCTCTCCCACTTAATGATCCTAAAAGTAATTTACAAAATATTTATTTTAGAAAATCATGCCCCACTTTTCTTGCTACAGAAATTTGGTACCCTTGCAAAGATTTATGTGCTGAGACAAATATAAATCTTTTGCAAAGAAAAAAAAAATGGTGGTTGAGGAATAGTATTGTAACATGCGCTGACACCATCCCAACTGTGGTGTTGTAAATGGTTATCTTTTAAGGTTCTATTTTGCTCTTCATTTACAGTGGTGCCTCGCAAGACGAAATTAATCCGTTCCGCGAGTCTCTTCGTCTTGCGGTTTTTTCGTCTTGCGAAGCACAGCTATTAGCGGCTTAGCGGCTATTAGCGGCTTAGCAGCTATTAACCGCTTAGCGGCTTAGCGGCTATTAATGGCTTAGCGGCTTAGCGGCTTTAAGAAAAAGGAAACAAACTCGCAAGAACTCGCAAGACGAAACGTCTTGCGAAGCAAGCCCATAGGGAAATTCGTCTTGCAGAACGACTCAAAAAACGCAAAACCCTTTCGTCTAGCGAGTTTTTCGTCTTGCGAGGCATTCGTCTTGCGGGGCACCACTGTATTTAGAAAAATAGACTTGCTGCACTGGGTTTGGGGACCATTGAAGTGTCTGGTCGCAGCTGGTCAGTGCACCCTCTCATCTCCATGTCATCACCTCCCAGTGCTCCAAGTCCTCTGCCATTTCTGACACACTCACACAGACTTTGCACTCTGTTGCTTCCATCACTGTCGGGAAAGCTCAGTTGCTAGAGCATGAGACTCGGAATCTTAGGGTTGTGGATTTGACCCAAAGATTCCTGCATTACAGGCAGTTGGACTAGATGACCCTTGTGGTCCTTCTATGATTTTATTCTCATAGTAAGGAGGCTACTGCTGGATAGTGCAAGCTCTACACACCCGGCCGCAAGGAGAGTAAGGAATTCTGTTAGGATGCATTGCACAGCAGTAGCCATACATTGAGCCAGATTGACTGGGGGCATCTCCCAGAAACTTCCTATTAACAAACAGCAGCAATGTCATGATGGGCTCGAGGAAAGCATCTGTCCATAGCCAAACTGATCATTCCTACCTGCTGGCCTGCTTGGGGAGTCTATACACTGACATTTCCCTCTCATATACTCTGTAACCAACATATAGAAGATTAGGGGAAGGTCTGGGAGAAGACAGGAGTGTGCAGGAAGTTTCAGCAAGCACAACTTCTGACTTGTACTTGGTTGGTAGAGAGGTTGCCAGAGAGCATAAGCACAGTCTCACTTTTTCCTAAGGAAAAGCGTCTTCTTGGGTGAGATTTTTAAAGCAAGGCTCACTCCTTAAGAATCCTTAGAAAGCTTTTTAAATGTGCATTTTGCTTATTACAATTCCCACCGTGGTGCTTTTTGCTGTTTATTTTGTTTGTTTGTTTGTTTTTGCTATATATTCCACGCTTTCATACTGTATCTTGTCAAGCCGTCAATGCTGTTTGATTTCTTTTTTAAAGGAAACCAAGTTTTTATAAAGAAAGACCTTCTGCTCAAGCAGTTTGATTCAGATTTAATGTCCATGCAAGACCTGTCAGGACTCACAAAAAATTGCAGGCATATGTTCTTTATGGATAATCTCTCACAGTGTGGTTAGCACAAGCAACTCACAGTTTGTGTGAGAATTTATCTCTAAGAAGCATGCCTCAAACTTTTGTTTGTCAAGCAATAAATTGGAAAGTAGTTTTAAAAGTGTAAAGGATGGTCAGAATGTGGAGACTGTCTATATTTTATGGCTCCAGAGAGGCGAACAAAGATGACACACTGCCAGATTTGTTAAAGGCACTGTGTTGTATGCCCTCAAACAACCCGTTGGAACATCAAGAACATTTACTAGATGACCCAAGAGGCCTTCTGCAGACTTATTACCTGCAGGGTTTCTCTCCCCCCCCCCCCAGCTTGACATGATTGCTGTTATTCGGACAGGAAAGTTACCTTTTTGTCCTGTAAACCTCATTTGTAATAGAACACTCTTACAGACACTTCAGTTCTAAAATGACATGGCAAGTGTGATAAGGAAAACAATGAGCAAATAAAACATTGGCGACTGAGAGCAAATATCTTTCAAACGAAAGGACAAATTGCTGCAGTAACCTGGCCTGACATTGAACAATACACCTTCTTTGCATTAGTGTGGGATATAATAGTTCAAACCCCACCCACTGCATCCATAATTAATCTATAATGGGTTGGTGTGGGATTTTTTCCACACAGGATTTGCTCCTTGTCCAGTTGAAATTTCTGGCCATTATTCTATTGGCGCATATAGCTGGGAGCAAATAGATGTAAAGTATTCTCAAATAACTTAGATTACCATTCCATATCCCTGTCATTTTAGTCTTTAAAAGATTAGCGTTTGATCTCCCTACGTTTAGTATTTGATGTAAAGAAGCAGCTAAGTGTTCTTACTGTCAACATGCGTGTTGTAGAGTTTAATCATATAACACCTAGATTTTCACACTTTCTAAAGTGAAAAATATGTAAGCAGGAGACATTTCTACAGACTTTGCTGCTGATGCTTGATTACAAGGTTATTTGGCATCTTATGGTCTTAATATTAGCCCCAAACACTGTTAAATGATGCCATTGACTGATATAAACTCCACTCTTATACCTGAGGAATGTGTGCATACATTCATAGGAGCACTTCTAGAATACTATCAGATCATGAAAACTACAATCCTGAATCTGCTTATTGGGTGCTGGGAGGGAGATATGAATCTGTCAATTTCAGTTTCTCATTCTTACAACCATCAGTTCTATTTCCCTCATTTTTACATCAGATTGCATTTTTTTAAAAAAAATCCTCAGGAAAATTCACCATAAAAATCAACATATTTTAAATACAAATATAATGCCTTTCTGTGTGTTTTCTATAACACATGCACACTTATATACACTCCCCTCTAACATTCATTCTTTTATTGGGGAACTGCACCACAAAATTCAGAGATGTGCAAATTTTGAAGGTAGTTGCATTTCACTGAACGTATTGTTTCAGGAGGTGCAAATTAGGTAGATTCACAACAAAATGCAGCAACTTGTTAGTAGGGATTCAGTCAGTAGGCCCCACTGAACTCAGTGAAACTTACTTTTGAAAAGATGTGTATATGATTGTGCTGTTAAGATATCTTCCTCATCTAGTGACCTGATTAATTTAGGCAAATTTTCACGTGGGTAGCTATCTGAGAACTCATTCTAATAAGAAGGGTATTAGAATGGTAAGCACAAAACATGCTTTACCATATGAAACTTACTGACCAAGTTAAAGATGCTTCTGAATCATTCGCCTTCAAAAAAACACAAAACAACCCCCCCACCCCGCTGCAAATCTAAAGCACATGGTCCCAATACTGAATCTGCACTGATGTTTGAATTTGCACTATTCTTTTAGTTTGCATTGCCAGAATATTGAAGATCTCTGTCCACTCTTTCCCTTAGTATATAGCCATGTTGTTGCTGCATGTCCCTGTTCTCTGATCAGTAGCTGATCAGGAATGACACTTAGAAGTATTCTCAGATATGGTGCTATTCCTGTCCTTGATGTTTCATCCTTCTATGTTTGAATATCTTGATGCTTTGATTTATTTTATCATCATTTTATGGTTTGCTTTCAGCTACCTTGTAAAGATTTGTATTATTAAAGGTGGAAAAAACAATCCATTAATAAATACCATATAAGTTTTCAGTTCAACACTTCCATGATTTCTCAGTTCTGTGTAATACTGTCTACAGAAGCGCAGCTTCTCATATGGCCTTGATTTTTTTAAAGACCAGACTGATTTAAACAGGTGTGAATTCTAACTTGACCCTCCATAGTCCTTTATTATTTGTGCCAGTTTTAGATCTTCCTTCATTGTAGAAAGTCTGAATGTCTAAAAAACCACAGCAGACTTATCATTCCTCAGTAGCTTCACAAAAGGGCTTGGAAATGTTCCACATTTCCTTTATTCTCTCCAAGCCAAAATCTTTTGTAGAAATCATAAGAAAAAGAAATTATTCATCTATCGAGAGGCTTGATTAATAAAATGACTCTGTGGGATTAAGCAAGGAGACTGCAGCTTGTAAGAGAGTGTTTATCTAATGGAAAACATCCCTTTAGAAAGAATGGAGCAAAATTTGAAAGCAGTTCATGCAGGTATGCCTGGAGGGAAAAAATACTTTACAACCACTTATTTGATCAGTTAAATAACATGTTGGCTGATATTATTCTATTTTCTGTAACAGGATTAGTCAGGTGTTTGCATTCTCTAAGTAATGATAGAGAATGTGGTTACCACCCTATGTTCAGTTCATACAGTTGAATATATATAATGTGTCCTGCTGCTCAAATTTCCTTATTCCTGTTGACATCTCCCCCTTTTATCCTATTTCTCAAGTTTAGTAAAAAAACAACAACCCCACAATGGATGTGAGTTACTATTATTCAATTGATTTCTATCTGCCCACATCTATTGGAAATCTTCAGGAGTTCACAGTCGCTGCGTTTCCAATAGCAATGCTCCCAAATGCACTGCTGCTTTTGAAATGGCATTGAAATTGTTTCTAATATCTTTTAACCAGATTGTTTGCAGAGATCTCTAATTATATATCTGTTTCATGCTTCTTTACCCTCTCAGAACCATTTGCACGGTAAATTTCATTTCTTCTATCTCTATGTTGTTCTCCTATTCTGCATTCATACTGGATAGAGAATGTTCACAGCAGAAATTTTTGTCCTCTGAATACAGGCAACAGAGGTTTCCATATCATGTTCATGACAAATCTTTGAATCAGGACTATTGAGCAAATTCACAGCTGTCAGATTATTAAACTCTGATCATTTGAGCACTGGACTGGAAAAGCTCTAAAGTGAGAAAGAACTAAACATCATCATCATTATTATTATTAACATCACTATCATTATCAGATAATATACGGTATGCACCTATTTGCATAATAGTGTTTGTCTTTCAGGAGGGCATTATCCCACAGAACTTGTGGCAGTTCTCACAAGTTCAGTATTTCTTGGTGCTTTCCAAAGTGTTCTTCTATTTGACGACTTTGGCTGTGGTTTTCTGTACGGTTGTATTCAAAATTGCAGTGGTGAATTAAAGCCTGTTGAAATGTGGCCTGTGACTGAACTGCTAAAAAGTAGGGATGGGGGAGAACTTGAGTTTGGTTCACATTTTAATGTGAACATAGCAAATTTGCACTTTTTGTTAAGTACACTGCAATCCAGTGTACATAGATTCAGGCAGAGGTTTTCAACCAGTGTGCTGTGGCACCCTGGGGTGCTTTGAATGATGGTGAGAGGTGCCACAGGCAATGCTGGCCTCTGTCCCTCTTTCCTTCCTCTGATGCCCACTTGCATCTCTGCCTCCCAAACGCTTGCACAGCTGTTTATTGCAGCAGCCCTAGCTATAAGCTCCCCAGGCGAATGGTGCCTCTGGGGCTGACCAGGGGGTGCTTCCCAGGCCCCTGTGGGGCAGTGTGAAGAGGGACCTCTCTTTGGAGCAGGGGGCAGCTCAGAAACCAGGGGTGGCAGTGCAGCTGCCCAGAGGACTCCCAAGGAGAGGGGGAAAGAGAGGAGGCTGAGGGAACACTCCACAAGAGAAGGTGATAGAAAAGGGGTGAGGGGCTGCCAGCTCTGCAGGCAAGGGGTGACATAACTGGGCTCCTGAACCCCACAGGGGTGCCACAGAAAGAATGTAGTTGGTCAAGGGAGCCAGGGACCCCAAAGGGTTGAAAACATAGGGAATATGTGCCACTTAGTTCAGTGGGATTTACTTGTAAATAATGAAGGTGTTAGTGAAGAAATGAAATTGTCTTAATTAAAATATTAAGAACAAAGGAACACAAGTGGGTAAAGGTTTAACAAAAGTTTATCATCTAAGAGCCTAGCAACCCTGTCTACTATATCTATGTATGTTGTATTCTATGTCTTAGGCTACAATCCCATACACGTAGCTGGACATAAGCTCCAATGGAATGTACAAAAATATGTATCAATCTTCACACATACATAGAAACGTCCTTAGATGGTAGGAACATTTCAGAATGTTCCTAATCATGGTGCCACAGTCCACTTTCCCCAATTTTTATATTCATATTGATTGTATAATCATCACATGTGTATGGGGAGACACATCAATGAGTTCTCCTAGCTTCCATACCAGATTGGCTTATATCTGAGTGATAGTCACACAAATAGCACTTCTGCTTTTCCAGATTTTCTAATTTTCCAAATGTTCAGGCTGTCACTTAAAGCCTGCCTTTGAGTGTTACATCAACATGCAGTGAAATGACTTGTGCTTTTGCATTTCATCTGCCTTTCCTTGTTCATTTGCTTATGATTATTAAAATGCTGAAGGGGAAGCTTCTCCACAGAAAGATACATGGGTTTCAGATGCATGTAGATGAGCTCCTGAATGTCCAAGTTTCTTTTTAAGGTAGGGATTGGGAAACTGTGGCTTTCCACCTGTCTCCCATCAGCCCCACCCAGCAAGGCCAACAGCCAGGGATGATGGGCGTTGTAGTACAGCTTCTCCGTTCCTGGTTAAAGGTGTTAAAGCGAATTAAAGCAAGAACTCATTTTCAGCAAGATACCACTTACTCCCCTCGCCTGAAGAAAAGTGACATTAACAATAGGTCTGCTAGAGTGTGCTGTAGTTGAGTTTCAGTGACAAAATAGATTAAGGGAATTACTTCTTCAGGAAGGGGATATGGGCCTATTGTCAAGACAGTCCTGGAGGAAAACATATTTAGAAAATGGATTTACAGTATCTCTTTCAGCTGCATGTGCAGTAAATGAGCTTGCTGCAGGTTATTTTTCTTGAGGCCAATAATAAACTCATTTCCTATCAGTCAAACAATAATTTATCAGTTCTGGGAACAAGCTAAGAATCATATGCCGGGCTTCCCCCTCAATAGTGCTATTCATTACTGTCATCAGACAGACACTCCAGGGCAGTCTGCAGTGGAAAGCTAGACTCTTGCAGATGGTGAATTGTCCTTGAATTGGGACTTGAGGGAGGTTCACAAGGACCAGCTTCTTGCTGTTTAAAACCAGCACACATAGAGCAATTGGCTTGACCCCGGAAATTTTGTCACCATCTTTTCAAACATGAACTTAGCAACTTTATTTTGGGAGACACTTCACAACAATTTTTAGCCTACTTTCCTGGTGATCTAGCATATTCTAAAGTGAAATGAACGAGTGAAGAGTGAAGGGTTATGCAGATAGGGGCTGACTTGATTTTCAGTGCCCTTCGCTGAATCCTGTAGGGCAGGGCTCTGCCTAATGAACAAGACTGGTAAGAGTGAGATGAGGGAAAGTAACTCTCCAATCTTCTTCCACTCTAAAAATTTCTGCAAGAATGAGGCACCTGGTGCCTTCGCCTAATTCCGTCTGTTTCCTTTATTCCTTCTACAGGACAGTGTCCTCTTTCCCCACCCACATGGTCCCAGCCACCCTCCTCTGGGAATGGAGGAGGAGGGATTGGCAGGCATCAAAAAGGGGATGGGATGTGTCTTCTTGAAGTGAAAGCAGGTGTCTTGTGTCATTCACACTTTCTCATTCATTCCCATAGGTGAATGGATGGCAGATGACTATGGGATGAGGGAGGAGATGACTGCCCTGAGGGAGAAAATTCTTTTGTTAAATACATACTAAATAATGATGAACTCACTGAAGTGTGGCATCACTGCAGCAACTGTAAATAACAGTGCAGCTCTCGTCATGTCTACTCTGAGGTAATCCCACCGAGTTGAATGGGGCTCACTCCCAGATAAGTATGTCTCCCAACCACAGTTTTGGCAGCAAGCCCTATTGAATATAGTGGGACTTACTTTTAAATAAGCCTAAGTAGGATCAGGCTCTTACAATCAAACTCAGACATATTATATTTTTGTGATCCAAAAAGAGCAGGTGGGCACTTATCCAGCAAGAAAAAATCCAGTTATTTACATATTTCATACATCTGCATTTTATTTGAGCTAAATGCAAGACATATTCCAAATTATTTGCATATAAATGAAAAGCAGCAAGATGTATTTTTGACAGCTCTGCTTATAAATAGAGTTTTCAAACTCCTTATTTTGGGGGATCCTGCTGCTGTTCTGTGACTGGTGCTTAATCACACACACAAAAACCACTTTCAACTCAATTGCACCGAGGACTGAAATTCACTTCAGCTATGACTACTATGGCAAAAGGAGATGTATTAACTAAACTCCTTTTTTTGTATGGCTTTGAAAAGTTGCACAGATAACAAGGCGAGATCTAGACACATCAAAGAAGCATTTCAGTTTAAAGCATTGTAAATTTAAACAGGGAAAACAGGTAGAGAAAAATGGGACTCCATGTCACCATCTGGTGGCACATAAAACACATATAATTCTCTTTTTCTTTACCAGTCTAGCTGAGACCTAAGACTACAGAATGGATATCCAGAACACAGTCTTGAGGGCCTAGTTAAGTCCAGCAAGACTCTCTCCAGTGATGTATTAGTTGTGAAGATGTGATCATATCTAGCTCTGATAGGATTCTTGCTCCATCACCTAATATCCTTTGAAATGAGGAGGCAAAAACACCACCCATAGTATCACCTGCATTGTATTTAGTGACAGGTGGGTTGGATACTGTACAAATGCAATGAAGTGATAGAGATACAGTGAGAAATACAGCAGTGTTCCTATTATCACCTTTCAGTTTATCACAAAGAGATGCTTAATTGACTTCCCACACTACCCAGCCTAGAGAATAGTATGGACCAGTAAATAAGTTCCAGAGGTTCTGAAACCACCATGCAACTATATGTAACTATACAATATAAGTACAGTGGTACCTCGGGTTAAGAACTTAATTCGTTCTGGAGGCCCATTCTTAACCTGAAACTGTTCTTAACCTGAGGTACCACTTTAGCTCATCCTGAAGCAAAGTTCTTAACCCGAGGTACTACTTCCGGGTTAGTGGAGTCTGTAACCTGAAGCATCTGTAACCTGAGGTACCACTGTACAATTAAGGAAAAGCATTAGAACAAAACACTTTGTAGATATTAGAAAGTAATTATTCAACATTGTGTGTTGAAATAATATCTTTGTTCAACACAGTCGACACTAAGATTTGAAAAAATATCATTAAGTCTTTCTCAAGATACAAATTTATCTTCCATTACCAGATTTCAGGCTAGCTATTTGACATTTTAAGAGAAAAAGGTGAATAATATTACTGTAATAGTCTGTAATTTTCTGGATTAAAAAGCAGAACCTATATGCTCAGCAGGCTATGAATTTAAATCATCTTAAAGGGAAAAGGGCGTCATTAATTTTAAACGGGAGAGGGAAAGGACATGAAATTTTAAAATCAAACCTTGATCTATAAATATAGACATGTTCTGCTGCATCAAAACTATCAGGTCCAAAGGAACCATGCACAGGAAGGAGAATGCAAAGAAAGTCCAGAAGCTCTCTTGTGCCTCCATTCATTTTCATGCTGAGTCGGGTTGTGCACTGGATCCAGCCCACTCCTGAGCTCAAACAGATATATTCAGAGGGACTCGGGTGTCAGGTGAGTTGGCTACAAAGAGCCACGTATCGCTACAGGTCAAGATGGCGCAGAGCTATCTGTTGTTGTCAGAGTATGGCGCATAAGGCAGAGAGGCATCAGGTGGGTGGCTTTAATTTCGAAGAATTAGGTCTCTGGATAGGTCTACCTGGAACAGCATGTTTGTTCTGAGCATGAGGTATGAACTAGAAGCCACTGCTTTAACTCTCAGCTCATGTCATAAACTTATTGGATGGTGTTGTGCAGCATAAAGTCCTTTAGCCTTAGCCCACCATGTATAAAATAGACAATAAGACTGATCTACTTATAGGGTGCTTGTGAGGATTACTAAGTAAGGGCCAATCTAAACGCTAGAATAAACCCCATGTGTGATTTAGCTTTCTTTGGGTTTACTACTTTAAATGCAAGTGGGCATTGCATGACTCTGCTTTACAAGTCAACAGATAAATTGCTTTAAATATGGAAAATACAGGCATTTGTATAGAATCAGTCATGTTGTTTGCTTTTTCTTGTTTACTCCATAAATTGTCCTTTTCTATTTTATGGCCTGGGGAGAAGATCTACTACACTCATCTCCTCGGTGTTATCTATACTATGCATATGATGGATTAGGCCCATTCCTTGGTTGTGCTTATCAAAGTTGTTGTTCTTCTAATATGTTTTGACTTGGCATCCTTCAATGACATAGCATTTATCATAACGAACAGCCTTTCTATTTAGCATGATCTCTTTGATCCTAGGTTTTCATTCCTCTGTGAAGTCCTCATATAAAGCTCCTTTGAAATTTCTAAATTCAGCTACTCACGCTGTTCCGATTGCACCAAACTTCAGTCTTGAGCAAGCATAGGGCAAGGCCAGCATAAAGCAAAGCTAGCATTGAGTGTGCATAATGGAGCCTCTGCTTGGTGGCCAGGACTCCATTTTCCATGGTTTACCCAGAATACAACAATGGCGTTAGAATGTCCATGTGTGCGCACACACACATGCTTCTGTGGTATGGAAGAAGAAGAAGAGTTTGGATTTGATATCCCGCTTTATCACTACCCAAAGGAGTCTCAAAGCAGCTAACATTCTCCTTTCCCTTCCTCCCCCACAACAAACACTCTGTGAGGTGAGTGAGGCTGAGAGACTTCAAAGAAGTGTGACTGGCCCAAGGTCACCCAGCAGCTGCATGTGGAGGAGCGGAGACGCGAACCCAGTTCACCAGATTACAAGTCTACCTCTCTTAACCACTACACCACACTGGCTCTCCACACTGTGGAAGCACACCACAGGGAAGCATCTGCCTCATCACCATGCATGTGTGTATATTAATGGGGTCTCGGCTGCTGGGATGTCCAATGGTAATCTTGCATGATATCACACACAGCTAACCTTAAGCTTTTAAAAAAACATTTATTTTTATTCAAAGGAACTTCACTGTTAAAACAAAGAAGGTACCATAGTGGATTGGAGATCCCATCCCACTGGGAAATATGCAGGCCATATTAAAGTTTCAAAACATATATATTTAATAAGGCTTAAGGCTATAGCCTGCCAGATGTCATGGCATAATTGTCCTTTTTTTCCTGAAAATGCCCACAGCAACTTTGTTTCAGCAGAGTTTCAAAAGGTCACCTTCTGTCAATTAATACACAGGAATAAAATGTTAATAATGTGAGAGAGAAAGACCTTTTTTTGTCCTTTTAGTATTTTTTCTCTAGCTATGCCCACTTTCCCATAAGTATTCCTTTGACCAGGCTCCAAGTCTCTGAGACCCCCCCAAAATTGAATGCTCATATGAGGAGCCCTTACACTGGGACTTGATGTCAGCATCTGGCATGGCTAGGTTAATGACAAAACCCGCACACCTTTGACAGAGCCACCAAGACACTTAACCTGCTGAGCCCTGAAACCACTTGGTGCCACCACCATCTGCTCCCTTCTTCATTGTCTAGAAGAGGCCCAAGCAGCAACCTTCTCCAGCTAGAGATAGGCAGTTGCCATTTTTATGCCTCACAATACAATGTTACTTCACCTCAGACCTCACCTGGAGTACTGTGTCCAGTACTCTGGGTTCTGGGCACCACAGTTCAAGAAGGACACTGACAAACTGGAACGTGTCTAGAGGAGGGCAAACAAAATGGTCAAAGGCCTGGAAACGATGCCTTATGAGGAACGGCTAAGGGAGCTGGGCATGTTTAGCCTGGAGAAGAGGAGGTTAAGGGGTGATATGATAGCCATGTTCAAATATATAAAAGGATGTCACATAGAGGAGGGAGAAAGGTTGTTTTCTGCTGCTCCAGAGAAGCGGACACAAAGCAATGGATTCAAACTACAAGAAAGAAGATTCCACCTAAACATTAGGAAGAACTTCCTGACAGTAAGAGCTGAATGAAGAGGAAATGGGGAACATTAGAACAGAAATCAGGGAGAAAGACCTTTTCTTTTATTTTTAGTACTTTTTCTCTAGCTATGCCCACTTTTCTATTAGTATTTGGAGAGATCTATGATGCAGAAAGAGAGAAAAAATAAATTGTGCTATAGGGCACCGACAAAAAGTGGGAATTAACAGTAGACTGTTGAAAAACAAAATGTTTGATTAAAATGATAATTAAGATGCTTCTTATGGTGAATGTAGTGATGCACTGCATGTTCATAAAAATGGGGATGTGTTCCTCAGAGGGATTTACATTGTACATTCTAGTGCATTCAGACTCTTAATAGTTGTACATCAGATCTTGCCAGTTTCTGTCTTTAGGAGGCATTTCTTGTAATCGATGCATTCAGCAAAACAGAACAATAAATAATAGTCTACAGAAAGACTCTCCATGGCTAAAAACATAAAATCAAACTTGAGGCAGCTTTATGCTGTGCTAGCAGCTGTTAGTTAGCCTTGGAAAACACAAAGTGGCCTAGGTCAAACGTCTTAAGTTATTGTTTTTTATGTTTAAGGTATTCTGCTCTTTGGTATTCCTCTCACTTTTCAGCTTGCAAATTTCATCTGGCAGCCACAACAGTGTCATTATTTCCAAGGAACACTTTCTGTATTCCTTAGCAAAGAAACCTAAGGTTTCCAGCTGGAATGCAGCAAGACCTTGCATTTGCAGTCGTCGTTGAGCAGTGATTAGACTAATCAAAATTCTTTGATTAAAAAATGTTTCCCAAGTGTCTGTCCCTGATAATTACTATGCAGCCACAGTATTCTAGGATAACATAATTGAAGGTACTGATGCAAATCTCAGACTTTACACAGCAGTTTCCCAAACTATTTTCTAGCCATTAGTACAGACCCATATGTTTTATAGGAAGTGGTGCATGACTTACAAATGAACTACACATTCAGCAAATTCAAATGTCAAGTCATAGCTAAATTATAAATCAGGCGAGGCATCATACTGTCAGATGTTCCCTCAAATAAGCAAAGTGTGCTCCAAACCATATGTACAAAACTATCATATACGTAGTGGTAGCCAGTGAGGTGGATTGCTGGCATGTCCTGCCATTCAGGGTGATTGTGAAAGGAGAAGGAAAGTCTTCAATGGCTACTGCAACTTCCAGATTGGGAAGAGAGTTTTCCTTTGAGGCAGGTGAGTTTTCTTTCCTTCCACATTCTCTATGTACAGTTATATGCAAATATCGAAGATTTCCAGCAGAAGGAAAAGGTAATTAACACCCCAATCGTTAAGGCATGTGTGTGGAGACAGGTTTTTAGATTAAGTGGAATCTACCTCTATGTTCTGGTATTTACAGTAAGAGCTTTTTGCTATCATCTTCTTTTGACTACTTTTCTGTAAATGTGGCCAAGCTCAGTCTTATTCAGCTGTTTGCTTGAGGAGCAGGTGGAGACTCACCCACAAGTTCCACTCTCAATGTCCCTTCACAGGTGGGCTCCTCCTCACAACTTCACTGTGGAATGCACTAAGAAGCCTCACCCTTAGCAACATTCCCATTCACGTGGAGACATATACAAGTGTTCATCTGAATGCGACAAGCTGCATACATGGCGATGGGGTAACACTTGTGGGCACTTTAAACAATGTTCAGGTGACTACCTGAATAGGGCTACATATTTATGTGCCTTTGCTGGTGCTTACTTTAGATATCTGATCTATTTAATTCAGTTGTAGGGAACTGTCAAGGAACTGACATCAGAGCCAGAGGCGGAGGCAAGGCTCCCAAGTGATGCTGGAGAAGGGCCCAGCAGGGAGAGAGGCAGCTCATCAGCTGGGGAAGGAAATCAGCATAACACCAGGGATAAAGGGGGGGCAGATGGGGGAATCGGCGAGGGGGTTCCAGGACTCCTCGCCAGAGACCAGCGGGGAGAGCACGGGTCCTCCGCTACCCACACCCTCCCTGCGCAGAAGACTTCCGCGCAGGGAGAGTAGGAGGAGAAAAGGTTTAAGAAACGCCCACTGACGGATTCTGCTAGCGACTAAAACAGCCACGAAGTGAAGGGCTGTCCAGACAGAAAAGGTTTAACCAGGCAACCTAGCCAGGAGTGGCGGCAACTTATGCACGAGCAACCCCTGTTATTATTACAGGAACCTTTGCCCCTCCAGATGTTGCTGATCTAGAATCCACAACATCCCTGGCTATGCTTGCTTCATTATTTTTCCAGTCTTTCATTCAGTTCTCCGCATTTCTCTATCAGTTTCTTTTTAATTTTTTTAAAAATAGTTCTCATGAAGATTCCATAGGATTTTAGTTTGGCTTTATCCAAATACACACATTTTTGTATCCATTTTTCTGGAACATACACGTTATTGCAAACAATTGTCCATAATACAGTATTGCATATTACGGTATGTTTACTGATTTATCCATTTTTTGTACACTTACCATAGTATATGCACCTTTGCCTGCATTACTGGGCTAGAGGACTGCATTGCAAAATCTAGAGAGGTGTGAATTTAAAAGGATCACTGTGTTTCATTTCACATATTGTTTTGGGAAGTGTGAAAGCTGGCTTGTTTTTCAGTTTGAACTGAATTGATTTTCTCCCCCATCCCTGTGGAATACACAGACAGCCTGCTATTACTACTCTTTCTAAATCAGTCCTTTGGTGTAGGAGTAGTGGTACTGGTTCCAGTGAGTCTATATTTGGAGTGCATTTCTGCATCACAGAAGCAAAAACAGGGAATATGGCCCTGAGATAAGATTTCGAATTAGAGTAACAATATTCTGTCAGTCATAAAAACAAAAGCAACACAAACATGTGGAAGAACAGCTTTCAAGTTCATGTCTCTGAAACAATGTTTGTCCGATAACAGGAATGTTGTTATGAAAGCCTTGGGCAATGCTTTAGTACAGTCTTTTGACAGCTGTATTATTTGTACATTTCTCCTTCAGACCCACCCGTGCAATTAAAGTGTATACACGATGCTATAAAATTTGTCAGTAGGTACTAATTGCTTCCTGAAAAGGTTTTGGTGTAAGCTCAATGAAAGGTACAATTTAGCAAACAGATTTAGCAAGCAGCAGATAAAACAATTAGAGTAAAGATCTTTTGGCGGGGGAGTGGCTGGCTGTGCACCCATTGTGACTTTGTAATTTAGCAAACAAATTTAGCAAGTGGCAGATACAACAATTAGCTGAAAACTCTCGTGAGAGTAATAGCGTGCTAGCTATGCGAAAGGCAGACCTATTTGAATAAAAACAATTAGCTTATATTTCAGATAAAGCCATTCTTTCCACATGCACAATCTATTTTGGTTTATATAAGTCTGGTGGGAACAAGTCCATGGCATATATTGCATTTACTGTAGGAAGGAAATTTGTGAAAAATGAATAGTGATGCATGAGCTATTCCTGGCACATGATAGGCTGGCATGAAAATTGTTCAAACCAACTCAAACTAACGCCTTTGAACTCCCAAGATCCCCTCTCTCATGTCCACCCTGTCCCTAAATGATCCTCCTAAGACTGTTTCTGCCTTCTTTCCCAAACTACATAGTCAGTTGTAGACACATTTTATCTCTGGCTCTTGTGCCAAGCTATATATCTCTCATATATATATATATATATACACATACATTTGAGAGTGAACACACAAACACGGAAGGAATCCCACCCCCTCTCCAAGCCCTGCTCAGGCTTGAATTACCCACTAGGGGATACAATTTTCTACCCTAACTGCTAGTAAGTGAGGTTGAAGCAAAAAGATAGATTTGGTGAATTAATAAGTGGGTGAATGAGAGACGGTTGGTGAGAATTCATCTCTGAGTCAGATTAAATATGAGCTAGAGAAGAATACGAGGATCATATTTTTTGCCACATCCTTGAGATGAATATAATGCCATGTGTACATCTGAGTCTGCAAGTAAGCATTCAGTGATATAACCTACTGGTGCTGACCCAACCATATGATTTCTGTGACAACATGAGCTTCTGTATACATACAAGCTTCTAGGGTAAAGGAAAGTACAATGATGGAAAAGGAAGACAAGATCCATGCCTATCAAAACTCAGATTCTACTACTTCTTCCATTGATCTTCCCTGAAGGTAAGGACTCATTTGGCAGCTGAGACACTGCTCTATATATGTCAGTGTTATTATATTTTTAAGTATTCCAAACTTGGTCATGTGTGGAAAATTCTCCATCTATCATCTATTGGAACATCTGATGCAGACATATCAAATAAGTGGCATTAAAAGGCTGTCCTAAAAATAAAAAACAGCCAAAAAGATTGGGTGTAGTTAAAATATTTAATGTTGGCAGAGCTCTGGTAGAGAAATAGCCTTATCTACCATGACCAGGATTTGAACTCCTGCCTTTTAGCGCCTCCTAAATAGCTCCTACATAGTGAGCTTCAGCAGCAAAGCTGAAAAATAGAAAATACACAGAAGACAGCAATGTAGCTGTAATGTAAAGAATAATGTGAGTTCACAGGAGCTGCTGAGTGAGACTGATAGTTCATCCTTTGAACGAGAGGCCTAGCTAGCAGACTAAGAAACTAGTTCTAGAAAAGAGGCCTCAAATCATAACATATCTCTGGGTGTGAGGCTATAAAACACACTGCAAAGCTTGCTATTACCGTGCTTCTGCCAGAAAGGGAACAAGTTATATTGAAGTTCAAATCTAATGGTTTAAACACTTGTTTTTGTTGCTTCCTTGTGCTGTGCTTTGAAGTCCCAAGGCAGGACACCAATATTGATTTGAGTGACGCCTCCAAGTTAGAAAGAGTCGCTTCTCTTTTATTTGTTCTTGCAAGATCATTTAAGTTCACCAGATAAAGATATTTTTAATAGTTTTATTTGAACAAAAGCATTAAATCTTTGATGCTGTCCACTTTTTATAAAAGCAACTGCTGGACTAGATCAACATTTGGATTGATCCAGCAGGCTCTTGTCTTCTTAATCACTTGCACAGTTAAGCTGATTTTGATAATGCTACACAAGCTCTTGTATCCCATTTTCCTTTATTTAATTGGTCAGCATGAATGCAAGAAATATGTACATCTTGAATTATCTCCAGCCGTATGTGGATCTGTTTAAGCAATGCAACAATGTTGACTATGATTAAACTTTTGTGCCATTTGGCTCAGTTTGTAATAACATTCTGTGAGTGACTGGTTTGAATGTGCAATCCTAGTTGTGTCTACTCAACCGTGAGTCCTACTGAATTCAATGAAAGTAAGTGGGGTCAGGATTGCTACTGGGCAGAATAATCTGAGGGGCTGGATGAGTCCCACTGCCCAGTTTTCCTGACTAAGACATCTTGCCACTGACTGCTGCTGATGGAGCAGTTCATCAGTGTGGCATTTCCCGATCCACACACCATTGGATGATCCAAAGCTGATCTCTGTCCCTGTTTTGTGTGAGTCTCCAGGCTTAGCCTTGAGCTACTCATTAAGCTGAACCTATGAAAGCAAAGTCTCAGGGGGAGGCCAATGACTCATAGTTGTAGCATCCAAAGCACAATTCCCCTTTGCTCTTTTAGAAAGTAACTTTGTGTTGACAAATGGAAGATACCATCCCTAATGCTCCTGCTTAACTGCTATGACTTGCAAAAGGCAGGAATCAGGAATGTGCTAAGTAGCAGTAACTCTTCATGGCCTTATGGAATCTGCTGAGTTTAGCAGCAGAGGCAATTTGAAGGTTGAGGGGATATTGTAAATATGGCCATTAGCCCCACACAGCAGCTGTGTGTCTGGGGGAGAATTAGATATCAAACACTGTGCATGCCTCATCACCAAGCAGATAAGTTTCTAGGTCATCTCTAATTGATGAGCCTGTGAGGTGTGAAACAGCAAAAAAGAAAAGAAAAAAAGACTGCTTACTCTTCTGTGTTTATCCTTATTTAGAAGGACAAATATTTTCCCCCCATGGGATTAGTTTTCATACACAATATAAATAATTAAAATATGGAAATTATCAACATAAGATTGCAGAAATATAGCCACCAGCAGAGATGGCTTAAATAAATAAACAACAATTAGTAGAGTTCCCATTAGCACCTTGTTGATCACTGAGAGAACAGAGTTCAGGACTAGATGGGCCTTTCATCCAGTGCTATTTTTCTAGAAAAAGAGGTGCCATAACTCACAATGAACACTTCCCTTAATATGTTAGAATGGCAATGGTAGTCACCTGAGAGGTTCTGGAACTGAGTTCTGTCAAGTTCCAGCTGAAAAAAGCCCTGTTTTCATTTTAAGCACTGTAATACCCCAAACACCCCATTAAGATTTGCCCTAGTTACAGCTCCATCATGAACATCATTTCAGATAGAATCAAACATCTGCTCCTAGAAAGATTAAAGATCATTTAAAAGTGCTTTTAGAAGCATTATGTTGTGCTTTTTCATGTTTTAAAAAATCTCATAGTATTATAGTAGCACAAACCACCCTACGGTTGTTGGGTTTGTTCTATCATTTTGAAGCAAAAGGGTTTCTGTTTTCGCCACACAGAGTTAACATACTTCCTATTCTAAGAATCACTCCCTGCATGGAGCTTGTGAGCTGATCCAAGATATAGGGGCTCTTGAATAATTCCCATGTGGTCTGAACCACATGGAGGTAACTGCCCCCCTTCCTAAATGGCACCCATGAGTTTCATTCAACCACCAGCAGAGAAAATTGAAATAAACACAAAATATATCACTATAAGGTGAATTCAGGCAATTTCTTTCTGTGTTATACATGTTCTGGGAATAAAGAAATCATTCTGCCCCCGCCCACCCCCTGAATAACTACATATTTACCTCTATCTAATAAGCTGCAATAAATATGTAGGTGTAAGTAGTATACGTTCTCTACTCTTCAAAGCTTGGGAGGAAACAGCATTTTGGCATAGAGCCATCTACCATTTAAATGGATACGCTACACACTTTAGCTTTATTTTAAGTTAGTCTAAAATACGTTACAAATTCCCATGTTGATGCCGTGCCTCGGAAAATATGAAAAATCTTCTGAATGTCTTTGCAAGCTGCAAAAAGGTTCACATTGTACTTTTAATAAAAAGTCATAAGATGGAAATGCCATGCTGAAAAGGAATGTGTGGTCCTGCAAGTATTAAAGGAGTTCCATCCCGCCTTTACACTAATTAGAATGTCCAAGTAGGGATGTTCAAGGAATTCATTTCATTCTTATGCCAGCATGAATTCAGTTGATTGACACCTCCTGCACTCAGGTGCTGATCAGACATAGTTTTTTCTCTGGATACTGAACTTCTTTGCAACTAAAGATCCCCTTGAAAACTTCTAGTTACAAGATGGTCAAAGGCCTTAAGTGTGTACACCCTTTCTTTGTCTCCAGAGGGTGGCAAGAAATGCAGAAGGGTTCCACCAAATGATTTCAATGAAAAGTTATTTCCATGTGGAGATTTCCTAGTTATCCTGGTATTAAGCTGCTTACAGAGCAATCCAAAAGATGGGAATAGGACCAAAGAAAGATAACCACCTTTTATCAATGATCAACTGGACTCATACTGGCAGCACAAATGGTGTGATGAGTTTTCCCCAAATTAAATTGGAGGGAAATAATCTATGGCAACTCCAAAGCTGGTGCAGTTTGTGCTCCATTAGGGATCCAGTGTGTGTGCCAAAGATATCTTTTGTAGGAAAAAGACATACAAAATGTACATTCTATGGGGATAACGTGTACAAAATGTATACAATATGTATATATTTTAGGGGAAGTGCATACAATTAAAATACAAGTTTTTATACCTTAGACTTTTTATATCTTGAACTTACGTTTGACCATAAGAGAAACATACATAGAACTGAGGTTGCTGGCAATTCTGTAACTCCCCTCACCAAACTACAGCCCCTTTATGGTGAGATAATGACTATCAATCCATTTTAAGCTCATAATGTGGAATGTGTTCCAAGATTTGCTAACGTTACTCAAGCAGTGCAGATATTAGTTTTCTTTTCAAAACTGACAAATTTGTTTGGCATTCATTTAGCTTGATTTAAGTGATAATGGTGTGGGGCTAGGGTGTGTGTGTGTCTGTATGTAGGTGTGGGGGTGTGTGGATAGAGACACACAAACACCCTTATAAAAACACACTGATAAGAATTTTAAAAGGCTTCACTTAACAGTGAACATGGCTGACAGCTGGAAAAGTGATTATTTTAAATGAGCATTGTAATAATGACCACTCCCCGCATAAAACGGGGGGGAGGGTGACCTTTGCGTGGACGCGCGCAGCCCCTGGATCTGGAACGGCTCCATCAGCATAGGCTTGGCTTCGCCTTCCCTCAGGTGGGATACCTGGAGGTCTCCGCCTACCCCAGTCAGCTGTCCAATCCCATCTGGGGGAAGCGTTGCCAAGGAGATCAGGCCAGGTAGGGGAGGGATTACCTGCCCACATGTATGCACTTGAAGGTGTCTGTATAAAGATAATTGTACAGCCCAATTTTATTGTCTCTAATTCTCATCACATTACTGCACAAATGAGGGGTCAACCTCCAAACTCAAACCAAAGCTTTCAAAACTAGCACAGATAAAACTTTTTGACCATACCCTGAAATTGAAACAGTCACTCTCCATAGTTGACAAGTGTTTCTTTCCTTCTGTAAATTAACTTTTTATAAGAAATATCCTGGAGCTTAACAGCTGTACCAGGATGCTCTTTATCAGCCTCCAGCCAATACAGTGCTCATATTTGGGAAGGGTTAGGGCTCAGAGGTAGAGCACATGGTTTGCATGCAAATTTCCCATTTTTAATCCCCAGCATTTCCAATTAGGGCTGAGAGGGATCCCATCTGAAACTCTTCAGAGCTGCTGCCAGTCAGCATATCAAGCTAGCTATACTGGTGGTCTGTCTCAGTATACGGCAGCATTCTGTCATCCCATGTACCTTTTTTCTCATTCCATTCAATTTAGCAGGATGTCTTACATCCCTCCACATTCCCCTTTCCAATATCTTGGATCACACTATGTGAATCTCATGGAATCAATCACAGTTAAAGGGGACTTGGAGCCCACAGTGGAGCAGTGCACAGCAGAAGGTGGCAGTTTAGTCTCCCGCCCACTCAGACAAAACCATTGGTCAGCCACTGTGACTGGCAAATGCCAGGTATTGTGTAGGGACCCAGTGTATGAAATACATGTCAAATTTCCAATTGGTCCTTTCTTATGTCCCCTCAAAGAGGCCTTCCAGTAAAATAGCTCTCCACTGCCTAGCAGCAGCAGAGAGATCTGTTGTACAAGTAAATGGTTACGTATAAGGTTAAGTTACTACACCAAAGTTAACAGTAAATTACCATCTTATCTTCTGTTAATATTTCATATAATAGAAGAGTTTGGAAATACTTCTCATTGTGGTGACTTGTTGGCATAGTAACTAGTTCCTTGCTGCAGATTAAATACCTTTCTATTATACGAAGGCTACTTTTGCACATCACCCTTGGATGTTTTTGAAAACAGAATAGTCTACTGTAGGTCTTCATTTCAGATGACAATGCAGTAAAACACCCTACTTCAACATAAGCTACATGGAAACCTGAACCAGAGAGGTATGTTTTTATGCTTGCTAATAAAAACAAAATTGCATTTGCTGCATGTGTAATGTGCTTTAAAAATTGACTTGTGCTGCCATCAGAGGCAGTACAGAAGATCTCTACCTTTTGGTAATGTATTTCAAATGAAATTTCATAATGAAAATAAAAAGCAAATGCACCCCCAATCCTGAAATTAGACATTGCTGCAATAGCACACAGAGTGGCTTCTGTCACCTTAAGCACCCGATAAGAAGTAAGATGGCTAATCAATAGCATGGCAACCATTTACAACTGTACATCAGCTAGATGTCATTAAACCAGCAAAGAAGTTTCCATGGCCACATACATTCTTTTAGGAATGCAAATCTTTTAGGGAGGGCCTCATCATCATCATCTTTTACCTATGGTATAGTCATCTGGGTTCATGCCCCATATCCTCCCAGTAATATGCCAAGATTTTGGTGCACTGCTTAATGACAGCGGTACCTACTGTTGTCACAGCAGTGCCAAACCATTATATTGTCTCAGCATGAAAGCCAAGCTCAGTTCTCTAAGCTAGCACAACAAAACAGAATCATGGTGGTATGCTGACAATATTTGCTTTAGGACAACACCAACCCAATATTTTAAGAAAACAGAGCTGACTGCCCCTGCCCACCCTATTTCCCCCTATCTTTGGTGACTATTATGGAAGTAGTCAGTTACTATCAGAGCTTTTGAACCAAGAAATGAAGTATATTAACCCTACAGGAACTCCTGCTGTAGTGAGGAGCAATCTACATGAAGAGAGGCTCTGGGGTTGATCGCTTCTTTTTACTAGGCTTGGAATGTGTTATTAAAGTAATCAAGGATGAATGGGAAGTTTTAGAGACATGAAATAAACATCAGATATCCAACAGAGATGATAGCTTGAACTGAGAAGGGAAATCCTAAACTAAACGGATGGTTTTTCTAAGGGAAAAAAATAGCACTGGTTGCTTTTCCTTTGCTTTACAGAGAACAGGAGGTTTCAGGACAGGGTTTCCTTCTGACATCCCAGTGTTTTCCTGCAGAATTAGGGCAGCTCAGACTCTGAAAGAAACCCACTGTGGTTTGTGGTTCTGATGCCCCACTCTTGGGCTCCAAAAGAGTGTATACATAGCATAAGGTATGCAGATGGCATGCATACAGTATATATAGTTGTAGCTCTTTGTATACAAACAGTATTTACTGGAAAAGACATGAAGCTTCTTCCCCCCACTCAATATTTCCATTCATATATTTCACACATTTTAAACTGCCCGCTGGAAATGGAAGAAAAGAACAACCCACAGGTTTTCCTTTAAAAGATACAGCCCTTCAAGATAACAAATTATGATTCATTTGGAGAAATCACTCTGGTTTGGGGATAAAATGAAAGTTATGTTCTGAGATAGCATGGGTGACATCACATGGTTTACAAAACCTCATCTAAATGTGAACTCCAATTCAGTCATTTTTTCATGTTTTATTTCAGGCTATAGAGCAGCTGCATCTTCATTGCTTCAGTTCAATTTTAATTGAATGTGCAGCTTGGAATATGTTAAAATGATCCAAATGATATTAAAAAGAGAGAGAATGATACACACAGAGAGATGAAGATCCAACATGATTTAAAACAGAATTTTTTAAAAAACCATAATTTACAATATAAACAGTATGTGACATTGCAGGCTGTCTCCAGTGCTTGAGGACCAGAGGTGTGCATTTATTTGAACAAATGTGTCATGGTCTTAAATAAAATAGATCTTGAATGAAGTGACTGCAGGCTATAGAGGTGATAAGATGTGCCAAATATGTGTAAAGATGTAGTAATTCTGGGTTTTATTGTTCTCTCTGAATCTACAGTAATTTAGTCTGCTGCACAGATCAGAGAGGGCCTAAGTATTCAAATAGGAGGCCTTGTGCTTAGCCCTGACCTGGTGCCAGACATTGAGTCCTCAGAAGATAAACCAGACACTCCATGAGTCAAGGAGGGTCTCCTGGAACCAGTGTTAAAGATACCATTGAGGGTCGTTCTGGTGGAAGACCTGTGGAAGAACTATTGGAGCTGTCAGAGGAGTAGTGAGAACCACCCCGCAGTCCTCAAGAATACTGGTGCAAAGAGCATGCCAGATCCAAACAATGTGAATAAAGCAGTCCAAATCAATTTGGGCACCAGGCACCTTTAAGCAAGGAGTAGATGATATTAGCACAAATACCTTGGCTGTCTTCCTTCCCCCCACTAACAATCCTCATTCAGCATGAAAAAGTCTAAGCATATTGGGGTAGAGGAATAGGGTAGCAGGCAATTGAAGGCTCCTATTCAAATCAGAAATATCTCAGTGGCAAACTATTGCACTCATGCCCTCTGACCTTGATGGGAAACAAGACATACCGCATGTTACTTGCTACTGGGGAGAGGTGCTAATGGACGCCTTCTGCTACTTGAAACCATCTGCCCCTTCCTTACCCTAAGGCTTTTTTTTTTTTTTTTTTGCTTCAGGAATGGGAATTTTAATGGGATTTTTCACTGTTTGGTTTCTCTCTTATGTAGACTCTCTTTAAGCTTCTGTTGCAAATTCCATTCAGAACTGACTTGATCCACACTTCCTATGCTGCCCAATCAAAGACCTCTTGGGCTCACTTATGGCAGATATACACATATATAATGTTTTAAAATATATTCCAATATATTTCCAATCAAACAAAAGACTCTCCTCCCTGCAAGAGAGGGGAGTGGTTGTGGCTGGGAGCCGGACTCCACCTCAAGCAGGGGGCGTTTGCCCCCTGCCTTCCACTCACCTGGCTGGCGCCCACGCCCACAGCTAGGCACCCAACCAGGTGCCTTCAAGGGTGTGTGTACAGCAGCCTAAATTGCTGTGGCGCCAGCCTCCCGGCCTCACTGTTTGTTGGATTAGCATCAACAGGCTCCACCTACTGGTGAATAAACCCCCCTGTTTTAGACTCTCCGAGTGGGTGGAGTCAGCTGACGTAATCCAATGCCTAAGCCAATACCTTTTCACTTGCTGTAATCAATAAAGTTGTGGCCTTTTCTTGCCCATTAACCTTATATCACGTGTCCTTGTGTTTCATTCCACTATGCGGGGATCGGGTCCTCGAACCACAACAAAAAGATCTGATCCCCTGGCCTACCTGGCAGACAGTGTGTCAAGACCAAGTCCAAAATCCAAGGGTCAATCAGCATCTGCAAAGTCCGCAGTCAGAGATCCAAAGTCAAAGGCCAAAGGTCAAAGTGAGGTTCAGGGTTGATCAGCATCCACAAAATCCACAATCCGAGATCCAAAGTTGAAAGCCCAAAGTCAGGAAACGAGGTTCAGGGTCAATCCAAGTTTGAAGTCACACCTGAAGTAGGAACCTGTGGAGGTCCAAGAGCATCCAAGACCTCAACATGGGCAGTTGAGCAGACACAATACCTCAGCTCTGTTGCCTTCTTCTACTGTGCCTGCTGATTGCATCTGGGCTTAATGAGGCATGTGACCCTCACCTGCTCTCATCTTGCCCCAGCTGAGGAATCGCATGCCTCTTTCCCCACCTAGTCAGCTAATGAACTGGGCTGCAAGCACCGACCTGCTTCTGCATCCTGGAGTGCACAGCCCACTGTTCCCTATGTCTCAGGACCCACCATGTTCATGAGGATGGGGGCCTCTCTGGCTCTGGCAAGGGGTCCCTCTGCTCAGCTTCCTGTGCACTGGCCCCTCGTCATCCTCTGTCACCATGTGAGTACTACCTATACCAACCTCTCCTTCCCCACCCCCAGCTTGCCCCCGTGTGACTCAGTCCCAGCCGCACCCCTTGCTGGGATCCTCCTCCTCCTTCCCAAAGTCCTGCCAGTTCATGACACAAAATAGTGTAGTTTTTAAAGATTCAGCCTGCCATCATGATCCAAAATTGTATCCAAATGTATCTAAACATAGACAAAAAATGCTGCTCCTTGATCTTGGAAATCATCATGAAAAATTTGGCATATTAAGAAGTATCCAAATGCATAAGAGAACAGACAGACAAAACTATCTGAAGAAGTGTTCATGCACACGAAAGCTCATACCAATATAAAACTTAGTTGGTCTCTAAGGTGCTACTGGAAGGAATTTTTTTATTTTGTTTCAACTTTCTGAAGTATATGAATGGAACAGACTAAAACAGATTTGTTAGTGAACAAAGACTGGATACTAAGAGAGACTGAGAGATGTTTATTACACATTTTATCTATTGATCTACAGGGAAGTTTGCCTGGTGCCTTCATTATACACCTTTAGGCGTCAGGCAAAAACATTCCTTTTTAACAAGACCTTCGGTTGATCTTATTGACATTCAACATCCTTCTAGAATGTGGCTTTTTTGGGGGGGGGAGTTATTGGGTTACTGCTTTTGGTTTGATTTTATATGTTGCTGTCCTGTTGTGAACCGCCCTGAGACCTCTGGGTATAGGGCAGTGTATATGTCTAATAATAATAGTAATAATAATAATTTAATAATTTAATATAGATGTTTCAAAAGCAAAATTTATATAAAAACCTTACTACTGACTGAATAAAACATATATTAAGGAAATCATTTATTTTGAAAGTGCAACTTAAAATAAACCACTCATTATTTTCTTTACATTTTGCTTGATGTAGAAGCTATGGCAGATGTTCCTAATCAGGTAATTTGTTGTTACTGCAGTAGCTTTGTCACAATTATATTCTGCTTTCTTCAATGAGCTCAAGGCAGTTTACACGTTGCATCCTCACCACAACCCTGTGCGATAGGACAGACTGAGAGATAGTGATCGGGATTTTATGTGTTCACTTACTGTACTTACAATATTTATGTATTCCTTTTCCAACAGAAGGTTTCTAAAAGAGTTATAACTAGATAACAATTAAAGTTATCATGTTGAACAACAATTATTCAGTGAACTCAATGGGACTGTGCTGTGAGAACTCAATGGAGCCAATGGCAGTTATGGGGGGGAAATCTCTCAAAATAAACAAATGGAATGATGGAATGCATTCCTCTTTAATATGTGGTTAGCACCAGCTCTAATAAGTCTTAGAGAACAGATGAAGAACCATCTTTACGTTCAGGCATCAGCTGATCACTAGCACATGTGTCTCATTGTTATTACTTTTAGTTTTCCACTTGTGGAGGAATATGGTATATTTATTTACGATGCTTTATCACATATTCTGTATTTAAATTTTTAATGCAACTTGCTCTGGAATTGTTATTGCAATGAAGAGCAGGCAATAAATATTTCAATAAATAAATAACACAAATGAATATAGCCCCTCTTTTTAAGAGCATCAGATACACAACTGCATGGTTGTGCCTATAATTAAGATTTTGTTATATTATTGATTGCCCGTAATATGTTGTTTATTATAATTCACTCAGTTATTTTCCTCCAGGGCCTGCATTATATAAACAGCAGAAGGAATGTATGTGCAGAGCTGGCAATACAATGCATGAGATTTATAAAATGGAAGACGAAAAGGGAAGAATTCTCAGGTGTAGTTGGATGAGGTTGCAAAACAGGGCATACACTAGGGCACTAGATCAATACAGTCATTGATGCCAAACTCAAAAGGCAAATGCTTTCCTGTGCTAGTCTTAAATTTAACATCAATATGAAAAGTAACGTTACAATACATTTATTTCCAGACTCTCAAATTGCTTTATTTCACTGAAAATAGTTGGTAACACCATTTCCCAAGTGTTTAGTTTTGATGGAAAAGTGACAGATTAAAAAAATGTTCTTTTTCTCTCTCTCAAATTTTCTTATATCTGTCTACTTCTACTCTCCATGGAAACAAAATGAGTATTTCCCTATTTCTATTAATACAAGTATAAATATTGCCCTCAAAACATGATGAAGGGAGTATTCATAATCTGCATAGCCTGGCAAGTCCTGCATCCAGTCTACACATTTTTATACTTAACAAGTAGCATTTAGGGTTGTTGTTGTTGTTGTTACATATTTATCAGGTTCTCTCACCATTCGGTAACAACAGGAAAGGAACATATAGAAATAAAATGCATTCACACACATCATATATGCAGAAAATCCTCTGCACAGTTTCTGACACTACAAACAACTGTTGACTGAGGAAGCAGAACTGACTTGTCACCTCATTTGCAATGTAAAACTGCAAAATGGAAAGTGATGACTTGGACACTTAGATGTGTTAACTTCTGAGGCATCATACTCATGAATTTTCCTACTCAGGACAAGTCACTGTTTCACATCTAAAACAGATGAGCTTTGAACAAGGGGAAGCACAAGTCAGTAACTCTTCTGCTGTGCTTGAGTATAATGTTCAAAATCACCATCAGAATCTACTGTTGTGAGTTTGTTATAGGTTGCATCCAATGGTGATTACTTTGCATTACATGAATCACACCTATATGATTGCTGTGAAAGAGCCTGGACTTTCAATAGAAGAGGATGAAAGGCACCAGACCTGTTGCCAAGTGTGTGTAAGTCACATATTTTGTTAGGAAAATTACAGGAAAATAGCTCATAAAGACTGGGAAATAGATGAGGAAGGTGACCTAAGGAGGAGGAGGAGGAGGAGGAGGAGGAGGAGGAGGAGGAGGAGAAGAAGAAGAAGAAGAAGAAGAAGAAGAAGAAGAAGAAGAAGTTGTAGTAGTTGGGGAGAGAAGTGGGGGTAGTAGTATAGTTCCTTTCTTTTTTCCTTACAAGCTGTTTTTGTTTTTGGATTTTTTCTGCCACTGCAAGTAGCAACAATGGCAACTGCATTGGAAGCCTGGCCACCATTTTGTATCCTCTACAATACCGTGGCCTTGTGGAGAGAAGATGGTGGTTACCACAAACAAAATGCTGGGGGGTATTCAGAAATAATTCTGTAAAGTGGTCTTTTTATAGAGGGTGATGATAAAAAAAGAGGAAGAAATCAGAAATTTTCTCCAAATAAAATACTTGCGCATCGAGGTCCCCATGACACCCCCCCCAAAGAAAAACACAATTGACACTTAATTTTTGTTTAAGGTTTTTGGCATAATTTTGGCCACAACTTTATTCAAATTATAGCAATGTGAGTGGTTGCTTAGGCATTGGTAGTACTAACTGACCCCGCATGGGGACAGCTCTGACATTTGCACCTCCCGCGAAGTCAGCAAGGGTAAGTCACCTGGGGAGAGAGATGGGACTGGGAACCATGCCTCACCTCTCCCCAGAATGCTCCCAGGGGCTTGCATGACCCTAGCCCCTTGCCAGGGGGTTTCGGACAAAAGCATGGGGAGCCCCTGGGTTCCTTTAACAGAAAACCCTTGAAGCAGCAGCAGCAGCATTTTGGAGGGGCAGGCACAGCCGAATCCATACCCCTCCACCATTTTCCAATTCCAAGACCAGTGCTCCTGCCCAAGGCTAGATTAAAATTTGGCCAACAGTGCTGCACACACCCAAAGTAAAGCCACCTTTGGGGATACTATAAATGAAAGTGATTCCAGCTAAGCTGGAAACCTTTCTGCAAAAGAAAGCCCCTAATGGGGGCTCTCTCCCTATTGGGAAAGGCAAGCCAAGGAGGATTATTCACAGGCAGCGCTCACAGGTACAGGGAGAATCTTCCCAAAGGACAGGGTAAGGGGTGGGGTGGGAAATCAAACAGGAAAAAGAAAAGGGGTGGAATTAAATTAATTAAGGGACTAGAGAGGATTAAAGAGAAGGGGGAAATAAAGAAATGTAACCAGACAATGAGAAGATCACTCCACTGTCCTCCAGATGGTCCAAGTTGATCCGAAGTAAGCAGCGAAAAGAGGAAGTTCTTCGCTGCAAGCATTGTATTTAACAAATAGGGCTGTCAATCAACAAATGGCAACATCTAGATTTCCCCAGTAACAGCCCGCCCCTGCTTGAAGGATGGCCAAACCATTAGCCTAGTAACAGTGAGGTGTCTTGTCAGCCCCGCCGGCAACCTGTGCTCTCCATGAGGGAGAACACACGTTCTGAAAAATTTCAACTTGTCTCTGTCTTAAAAAAGCAAGGTAGGACTCCTCCAAGTCACTAGAACACCCTTTCTCCAGTGGTTTGGAGAGTTTCAGAGAGTCTCAATGCTATCAGGGAAATCAGGACATCTGTATATAAGGGGGGGGGGCATATGGTGGTGATGATTCATACACTTGGTGTCTCCACATAAGCCAGGCTGCACTGCCAGCTCAATGGCATCCCTGTGTGCTCACATGGGGACTGCCATATGTTTAAAATAATCCAACTATAGTAAAATCTGCCTCAACTGTCAATATTTAAAATAGATGCAGTGTGCTAAACAAAATGAAATAATACGCTGCAATTTAGATTTAAAGTATGGGATATATATATATATTAGTAAGTGGAGAATGTTTTCCATTTATTGGAAGAATGTTTGCTTGAAGGATAGGCAATCTTTCAAGCCAAGATTTGACATAAAATTATTTGAAGTATCATGAGTAAAGGAAATCAAAGCAGTAATGGGTATGGAAGAATAGGACTTAATAACTTTTGAGCCTAAGGTTACTAGCTAAAAGTGGAGGTCTCCAAATAATTGTATAAAGAAGGGAGATTATACATTATATATGCAAGAAAGATAATATTACAACCTTGTACTGTGCTAAGCATAACAAGTTGCATTTTAAGATTATAAAATGAAGGCATATATTAAAAGTACCAGATTTTTAAGGGGAAATAATGCCCCCTCCCGCAGCTTCTTTGTTTTCATTGACAATGTGTGTATTTACATTTCTGGAGGTTTGTTTGCTTCTCACTTCAAGGGAGGTGGCCAAAAATAGCAGCCACAGGAGCATTAAAAAACACACACACACAATAGTTATATGTTATGCCTTAGAGATGTGCAGTGTACCTTCATATGGAATCTAATGAACCAGCTCCACTGAATCATAAAATTATGAATTATTTCTATGGGGAGGAAATTGAACTCTGTTCTTTTTCATGAGAGGAATTAATTGAGAGGAATTAATTTAGTTGCCATGCTAAAGAGACAGGGCAATATTTTCTAGGTCAGTTAAAAAGGTTAGTTGTTTAAGTTTTGTTTTTGCTTTAACCCAAGCTGGTCTGATAATAAGTAAATACAATAGGGAAGACTCCCTTCACATAATTCTTCCATTTTAAAAGTTGCCACTTAACGTTGCATAAACTTTGTGGCTCTGTCTGTATACAACCTGATTCCGGCTGGCAGCAGCTGTTCAAGATTTCAGATAAATCCAATATGATTGTAATAATTACAAAAACAGTCACCATCACTGTGGGAATACATCAAAGAAAAGCTCATCCCATTCTGCAAGGTGCATGTACGTATATGAAAGACCAGGGGGTCCTCAATTTTAAGAGATATCATAATAGATGTTGTATAGGAAGGCTGGAGAAAGTTTTCAAATGGCATAAAAACAGAGCAGAAGATGGCTTTGATACCCTGCATCTCACCAAAAGGACAGATACATTTCACACATCATAGAACACCCTCAAAATCCACTTTATGTGAGTCATAGCTTCCTCGTTTCACCAAAATTGCAGTCACATATCATAAAATAAAAAAGCAGAAGGTTCCAGCGTTCTCTGCAAATGCTGCATTTTATTCAAGATAAAAAATACAGTTGTTAAATAGTCTAAGGTAAATATGCAAATGTATGTGAATAATCACTGCATGTACACAAAATTGCAATAGGCTTTCATGAGAAGTAACAGCTCATTCACACATGCAAACACCTCACTGGAGTTTCTGTAGTTGTGACAGCATTTTGAAGGCTATGGGCTGTTTCCATGGATCATCTAGTTTAGACAAGTGTTTCATTGTGTGATCCTAAAGGTCAAGGACAGGAAATTTGTGGCCTTCCAGGTATTATTGGTCATGCTGCCCCAGCCAGCATAAGCCATAGTAGGGGAAGGCAGGAGCTGGAATCCAGCAACAATCACTTGTAATCTAAAATTGACATGGAGAAGCAACAAAGGAAGAAGTTGCCATTTAGTTCAGTACCATGAACACCAACTGACAGTGGCTCACCAGGATTTCAGGCAGATGACAATTTCTATCCCTACATGGAGAAGCCAGGAATTGAACATGGGACCTTCTAGATGTAAAGCAGATGGTCTTCCAATGGGCTCTTTCTCACCCCAATATTGTGTCCAGACAATTACAAATAGTTTGCAAGCTGCTGTTTTGTAAGGAGTGGGTGTGTTTGAATAACACACAGGACACTGGAATTACAGTTATGTTGTTGAAATGGATATTTTCTGTTTGTCTTCAAAAAGTTAATACATTGATCTCTTCTGAAACCCTCGACAAGGAGTTGAACTCTATGAAACCAGGTAGCATAACTACCTGACAACTGCACTAAGTCCTATAGGGATTTGGAAAGATCTATTATTCTTAGAATGGCAATGGTATGTTACCTTGACAACCAGAGATGATGTATGACTACATTGCGCACCGTACTCTGATGACATTCAGCTCCTCTCTGAGACTTTGATAGATTTTGTTTATTGAAACAGCACCTCAAACCATCAACTTCCAGGGGTTGGAATTAATATTAGTTCTCAGCCTACTTCTTGGTGATGGTGCTGATCCAAAGTCATCCACTTAAGGCAAAAATAAAAGGGTTATTTCTGTTTCCATAGTGCACTGCACACATGAAGTCACTAAAGACTGGTTAAACCTTAACTTTGCCAACTCTCCATGTTTGGTGGGACAAAATCCAATCATTGCCTTGAACACCTTAGTTACTCACATGATCTTCTGGGTTTGCTAGATCCTTTTGTCCCCTTCTTGAACGTGTCAGTTTCTCAGAGATTGCAGTAATTATGTCAGCTGTCCATTGTTATGCTGGAAGGATGTGGCCAGCATAACAATGGGCAGCTGACATATTTACTGCAATCTCTGAGAAACTGACACATCCAAGAAGGGACAAAAGGGTCTAGCAAACCCAGAAGATTTTGCTGAGGTCTGGTGGATTTTTTGTTATGCATATGGACAAACAGCCAAAAAGGCTATATCAACTAAATATGACTTCATTTAGAAAGAATTATAAGAGTGACACCACCACTACCACCTGAAAACCACATGCATCTGGCAGGCTCCAAGGGCCGATGAGGACTCCCCAAGTTATCACCCTCTGGGAGCGACCATCAAAGTAGGACCAGAACCACTACAAAGCTGTGCCACCCACCCATAACTCAGCTGCAGCAGATGGTCTATGGTATCAAAAGCCTCTGAGAAGTCAAAGAGAATTAAGAAGGATACCTTTTCCCTCCAAGAGTGTCTGGATCTAGTAAGTGTGTTTAGAATAGCAACCTGAATGTTACCTCCCCACCCTATGATTTTGCAGTGCAGTGGCGTAGCGTGGGTTGTCAGCACCCGGGGCAAGGCAAGTAATTTGTGCCCCCTAACCCGTGGATTTGAGCCCCCTAACCCTAACCCCCAGATGTTGCGCCCGGTGCGGCCGGCCCCCCCTGCACCCCCCATGCTACGCCACTGTTGCAGTGCTTCCCCACAGGCAACCACACACACTCTGAAATTTCTCTCTGAATGATTGCAACCAATCAGGATCAGGTACAAATGCTGCTTACATTACAGTGCTACATAGCAAATAATTTTAGGCTATGTGTTGATACCACTAAGGGCAGCTTAAGGGCATTTATAGTGAAAACATTGCTGGTCAGCAATCACAAACCACTGAGAATAAAGCATTTCTACAATCATGATACAATGATCCTCCTTTTTGACACAAAGCTCCTTTTCAGATTAGCCCCAGTATTGAGGACCATTTTAATTATTTAGTCTTCAGACACTGAAAGCAATGTTTAAAAACCAGGGATATTTCTGAAAAATGTTTGTAGTACAGTAATGAAGATAGCAGCTTTGAATGTATAGAATCTGCTTCTCTGGTGTAAGAATGTTTGAATCAGGAGTTAAAAAGCTGTTTGTCAATATCACTTCATAGCTGAAGTTACCAGGTCAATTGTGGTAGACCCAGAGGTGATGGTGTTTTTGTCTATTAAGTCATAAAGGGGCCTGTCAGCAATGCTTATGTATGGCAAATCTTGTACAACTTTCATTACCCATGTGCCATCTTGAGGTTGGTTAGGAAATGCCCTTGGCAAGGTCAATATTGTATCAGTTTCAGAATTACATAATTCCCCTTGCGAAAGGAGCATTCTTATTATTTAATTATTTACTAAAATATTCCCATTCCATCATTCTGCTTTATTTCTAAAGTGCCCAAAGTGGCTTACATCATGCAAAGTACAAAAAAACAGTCATAAATAAAGTTTTTTAAAATCAGGACAATAAAAGCATAGAGAACGCCTCAGCAAAAAGCAAACAAATAAGCCAAAGGGATAAAGCAGCATCAACCAGCTAAGCCATATGCACCTGGAAACAGAATAATAAAATTGTAGAGTTCGAAGGGACCCCAAAGGTCATCTACTCCAACGCCTTGCAATGTAGTTGTTGTTGTTGTTGTTGTTGTTGTTTAGTCATTTAGTCGTGTCCGACTCTTCGTGACCCCATGGACCAGAGCACGCCAGGCACTCCTGTCTTCCACTGCCTCCTGCAGTTTGGTCAGACTCATGTTTGTAGCTTCGAGAACACTGTCCAACCATCTCGTCCTCTGTCGTCCCCTTCTCCTTGTGCCCTCCATCTTTCCCAGCATCAGGGTCTTTTCCAGGGAGTCTTCTCTTCTCATGAGGTGGCCAAAGTATTGGAGCCTCAGCTTCACAATCTGTCCTTCCAGTGAGCACTCAGGGCTGATTTCCTTAAGAATGGATGTGTTTGATCTTCTTGCAGTCCATGGGACTGCAATGTAGTAGTCAAAGCCAAATAATCTCTGACAGACATTCTAGCTTGTCATTACCCTTCTCAAACTGTGGTATCCAGAGCTGGACACAGTACTCCAGACAGGATCTAACCAAGGCAAAATAGAGTGATACTATTGATCTAGAGTGATACATTTATTCTAGACACTATATGTCTAATGATGCAGCCTAGAATTGCATTAGCTTTTTCCCACTGCACCACCCTGTTGAATCGTGATAACCTTGTGGTCTGCTAAGACCCCTAGATCTTTTTCATGTGTACTGCTGCCAAGCCAGGTGTCACCCATCCTATATGTCTGCATTTGATTATTCCTGCCTAAATGTGTGTGAATATTCATATTCTTCAGCTATACCGTGAGGTTCATTTTACTACTGAACAGAAAAACCTTCTTACAGGCCAGTCTAAAGCAATCCACCATGTGCCTCCCTGCCTTCCCATTCACTCTTTCTCTTCCTAGTCCTCTTCCTACCTTAACATCCTTCACCAGCCGGAGAAGATTAAGTTCCCTCTAGCTGGGAGCTTCAGACAAAAGTGGTGCAGCTTCTAACATTTGGACAATCAGCTGTTTGAGCACTATTTTGGGCATCATCGTCTGGGAAGAGGTGGTAGTAGCAAGCAAGATGCACATGGCTGATGGTTTCAGACAGTGTTCAGTTAGTTGTTGAGTCTATATATTTTGTCCATATATTCCCAGAACAGGGAAGGACCTGCAGTGAGCTCTTTCTTTTCCATCTGCCTTCATCCTGAGTTCCATGAAGGCTTCTAAATAACTAGCTTACGAAGCGGTATGTGCAGATAGCTATTAACACACTACATAAAAAATGTATGAACACATTCTACTTTATTGAAATGCAGTAGAACAAATGAATCAAATCAAAACTATTAAAAGACTGCAGTACAGTTCATAAAATGTAGAAGCAGCTTGGGGGCAAATAAACCACAAATCTTTGTTCAAGTGGAACAATGTCAGATGTCAACTGCCTGAGAAACATATGCCATTGGCTTTTCATTTTACATTAATAACTGTTTGTAAAAACAACGACAAATACATAAACCCCCAAAACTCCTCTGCTTCAGATTAAGGTGTTGGAGATCTCTGTCTGTGAACACACCCAAAGAAGCAATGACTCTCTGATGCTGAGGAAGGAAGTCAAATTGTGTTTGGCTAATGATAAAAGTGTAAAGGTGGAATACTCAGCAAATCACAATCTACTGTTGGGGAGAGTTATTCATAAAGCATATGTTGCTGGCCAGTTGGTCAGCTGACATAATATCCAAGTGATCTTTTAACAAATCACAATACAAGCATGGACAAATTCAATCCCCCACAAAAGTTGTAAGGGAATCTTTAACATCAGCAGGTGTTCAGATTTTAAATGAAGAATTGTAACTGTTCATTGCAAGTTTCACTGTGATCTCTCAATCTCAACATCAGCTGCTATACAGCAAATGTGTGGTTTCCAGGTGGTCATCCATCAAGGCACTGACCAGGCACTGCTTAGCTTCAGAGGTGGTGGGTTCATGTGACTTCTGCCCATGCACTGGGACCATAGAGATTGCACAGTGAGAAATTTTCTGTGAACATGGTGGAAACTCTCCTTTGCTCAGTCTTTCTAAGCTTTATCAGATAAGTTGCACGGGGAGGGAATCAATTCTATGGGGAAGTTGATATATGATTGGCTGAATCTGACAGGGGCATATTCACTGTAAAAAGAGTCCCCAAGATTGGATTGAACCAGACTTACCATTCCCATGTTGCAAACCATTTATGGAATGAAGACAGCCCCCTTCAGACCCAGCAGAGCATGAATCAGCTTGGTAACATTGCTGGCATGTGCGGCACCACTGAGGATACAGACCCCTTTGCAAGTACTGCAGTAAATAGGGATGCCAGACAATTCTGGTGCAAACTGAAAAGGAAGAATATATTGCTGCAGTTCACATGTTCATCTATGGTCAGGAACAGAACTCAGCCAAGCAAATACAATCATTGTTGTGGTTTTTGATTCCACAAATAATGGTTTCAACATTTCATTTACACTGAAATGAGTTAAACAAATAGCTATGTAAGTTATGCTAAATAGTGAACAAGATGAATAATGTAGTATTTGGTGAAAAGCGATTTTCAGTGGAACAAAAACAGCACTGATTTTTATTTGAATGGATCTCACAGCCTTGTTACATCCCTTGCAAATAATGCCTGAAAGGCGTTAGCATGCACTGAATTTCTTTCTAATATGTCAGTGTTCAAGAGCATAATTACAGTGCAAACAAACCTGCAAAGAACTTGAGTGCCAATCAAAAGCCTCACTAAGTTTGGAGAACAATTTCTTAAAATGCTCAAAAGGAAGCAAGGTGGTGGGGGAGACATACATTAATCGTACCATTTTTTGTTTTATCTATAAAAACAGAAGTGAGGCCTCTGTTAGATCTCCCAGTTGCTATTATTCCTGCGCTATTCACTCAACATTGTGCTGCTGTACATCACTGGGACTCAGAGCAAATCCTGTGCAGTCAAGGAAAGCAAGCTGATAAGGCCCTTTGCGGTCACAATACTTGTAAAGAGCAGCACAGCAATCAGCAGTGACAAAGTGCTAATGAGGACTGGCATTGCAATTAGTGGCACAGAAGATTTCCTCCCACCCTGTCCCAGTTTGGCATTTGACTTTTCATAGGTCTGATCTGAATCAAGCTGGTGCTAGATTATTCCACAGAAGTGAGCATCTTTTGAACTTCTCTCTTCAAAGTCATTAGTACTGAAATCAACATAAATAGAATATGCTGCTTCAGACTTGACTACCAAGTGCTTCAAACTTGGACTGCCAAGCATGACTACCCAAAGGAGCCACACAGTAGTACATGGCGTAAAATTAATCAGCAAGGTTTCCTGCTGCCTCTTTGATTCAGAGCGAGTAGCACCTCACCTAACCTGCGAAACATATGATGCCAATTCTAGTGATGTGATGCTACTGTTTCTGCCTTTGCTGCTAACAGATTTATTAAAGACTGAGCTGTAGAAATGGTTATTAGAATCAGTTATTTTTGTGATGTGTTTGTTAGGATATTTCTTGCAGCTGACAAATCTTTTAACAGAAAGGCTCACAACTGAAAACAGGATTTATTTATGTATTTTTAAAAATACCATTTGCAACAGCACTTACTTTTTTAAAAAAGTAAACAACATGTTTGGCCCTCAATCCGTTCCAGCAGTCCAAACACAGTCTTAAAAGCCATGCATGTGTAGACAGAATTCTGAGATGCTTTAATTCCATCCTCCCCATGAAACTTTCCTGATAAAGCTAGGCACAGATAAAACTGAACCAAGCAGAGCTCACTGGTAGTAGTACTCTGGTATCCTCTTCCCCCAAAAAATATCATTCCAAAGAAGGCTTCCAGAAACCTTGGGAAATTGAACTACCCCCCACCCTAGGAAAGGAAGACATGGGGCCAGATCTGGGGTAAAGAGTCACAACTCTTTAACTACTGTGATGAAGGACTGAAGAAAATGGGACTGATTAATTCCATCTAAGTGAGCAGCCTAGCTGGAGGAGGCTGATGGGGGCTTTTCTCCAGATTCTCCTGGGAGTGACACCACCCTGGCTCTGAGCACTGGAGCATTAAGTTAACTGGTCCATGCCCTTCTTCTCCTGCTCAAACAGAGAACATCTGTTTGCTCCAACCATCCTCTGCTGTCAGGAAGGAAGACTTATCCAGGGTCAAAAGGTTCAACCCCTTTTAACTGCTTGGCAATGTGAGGTAGGTTTGGCAGTGTTTCTTCACCATGTAGGTGCCTCAGGGGGCTCATCTGGGCAGCCTCTTTACTCCTCTGCCCACACCACCTACTACAGAAGAAGCCAGCTTAAGCTCAGTGAATCTGCAGATCATTAGGTTGAACAGGTCTTCCCACAGTTCCTTAATAAAAGTGTCCCACTCCTCCATGGAGAGATGCACATCATTGTCTCTATAAAGGCACATGTCTCTACAGCCACAGCAGGTGCTGTAACCTTCCAACAGTTTGACTTCACCACCCAAAAGCACATTCCTCCATTATCTACCGAGACAGAGGGATACCAACAACAACAACAACATTATCTATAATGGTGGCATGTGAGATATAATCACCTCCAATTTTCTTTTTTTTTTAAAATGATATTTATTGAGAATTTTAAAGTTACAAAGAAAGAAGGAAAAAACAAAAGAAAGAGAAAAAGAAAGAAAAAAGTAGATAAAAGTAACAATTAAACAATACAAATCAATAAAAACCAAAGTCAAAAAGAAAAAACAAAACACACAATGCATCAAAATCAAAAAGCAAAAATAAACAAAAAATTTAAAAACAAATCCAATATTCCCAGATCCTTAACTGTCATTAACTTATTTCATTGACCTCCTCACACCTCCCTTTTTTTGTATTCTAGTTGTTAATTATCTCAGCAAATCCTTTCCATCTTTCACAATATTCTGTCATTAAATTACCTTAATCTATTTTAACCTTATCTTACCATAAAAAAACCTAAAACTTAAAACTTAAATCTTATTTATACCAAATTCTCTTAACCATAACATATTCTTACATAATTCTTTTTAACATTTCTGCTAAAGCTAAATAATTTCATTCCAACATTTTCCTAATACTCATTAATTTTACGATACTTTTCTAAATAAATTTTTAAAATTTTCTTCCAATCTTCATCCATCGTCTCTTCTTCCTGGTCTCGGGTGTTGTCAGTCCTTTCTATCCCATCCATCTAGTCCATCAACCTGGTGACCTTATATCCGAGGCTCTTAAGTCTCTTCCATGTCCCTTCCGCAGGTCTTCTTCATGTTTATACCTGTACTTTACTTTGTCTTCTGCTCCTTTCACTCGGGGAGACTCCAGCTTAACAATATTTTTGTCCCTTCTCGACAAGTCAGCCCCTTTTCCATAGTCAACACTGAAATCCATGTGATATTTAAAGGCATGTTTCAAGGTCCCTCCAAAGTTAAAGGCCCCCACAACTCCGAGCTCCCCCCGGCCCAAAACCAGACTTGAAAGGTCAAAACATCCCTGCATAGGGGGGTATATCCAGTCCCCCATCTCCAAGCCAAACTGGACTCCATCTCTCCAAATCTGACTTTTTCCAGGTTCGTTCGTCAAATCCAACAACTCATGTTCCTGCTGGGCCACAACTCCCTCCATCTCTGCCACCCGAGGTCCAGCAACAACCTCCTCCCTCATCTGATCTGTCAAAGCACATTCCTGGATTAATTCCTGAGTGGGTTCTATATAGGTACCCACTGCCTGTCCAAAATTTCCGATCGCAACAGTCATCAAATCCATCTTCTCATGTAACTGTTCCAATAAAGCACTTGTCTTGCAAAAGGCAAGCACCAGAGCCTCTGAGCACATTCTTGTTCAAGGTCGAAGTCTGGTCCCACGATCTTAATCTATTACAGCTGCAAAGCTCCCCAGTTCGAATAACAGTTTCACAAGCTCCCTCTAGGGGAATCAATTTCTATTTGTATCCATCTTTTTTTTTTTTAAAAAAAAGCAGATCTAGCAACAAAGTTTTCCTTTCTCGGATATTTTGTCAATATTTTGTTCCTTTTAAATGCGAAGGGGAACAATGGAATCAATATGTTTCTCTTCTTTTAACTATCTGTCAAAAACATTTGTCCATAGTCAATGAACTTCCCCAAAACGTCTGTCCTGACACCCCGCTCCCAGGTTCAAGACAGTGGAAAATTACCTTTCTTTACTCTCTCTTCTGCAGGTTTAAACAGTCTAAAAAAAAGGTTCCCCCCTCTTCTCCTGCTTCCAAGGGGGGTTCAGTAATTTTAAATGATGAAAATTTGATCCTTTACAGACGACTTTCTAAACTCTAGCTTGCCGTGTCTTTGCTTCAATCTATCTACAAAGCGGAAGGCGGACTTCCTGTTTAGACCTTCCCGCTTCAGTGCCAAATTAAAAAGTTTCTTAATCCAATTTTCCGTTCTACTCACGGGCAGTTCTTTAAAATCCAATTGTTCACAGGAAAAAGTCGGTGCTCTCCGGCAACAGCAATACGGCTTCACTCCGTGAAAGAAGCAGTCGATTCAAAGCACCGCACCACACAACCCACGTCACTCTGGATCCCCAAACCCAGGTTTCCCCGCGAGTAGGGGGGGCGCAGAGGTGCCAGCCGAATCCCACGTCCACAGGCTTCTCCCGCCTGCGGTTTTTGATGGGTCTCCGCCTTGCCGTGGCGGTTCAGACCCTGTTTTCCACCGAGCGGATTCCTCCCGATCGGAGGAAATCCGCCATTGCCAGAGGCGCCAACCCGGAAGTCTATAATCACCTCCAATTTTCAGAAGCCTTTACTTAACAGCCCTCCTAATTCTCTTTGTAGCTCTCTCAGTCCTATTGAAATGGTGGTCCCTTACCACACCCTCTTCTCCAGCATCTCAGATCACAGGGTAAGCAACTCAGGGGACCATGCTAAGGCATTACCTAAGTCATCCCATACCTGATGACTAAGTGACAACTAAGTCATCTGTACTGAATCATCTCCGAGTTGCAGCACCAGAATCTGAGGAACTAGTTCCAGGGATGCCTGATAAAATAACATGGGGAGGAGTTTCTATAATAACCATGAAAATATTATGGCTGCAATCCTGTGGTCTCTGGGGCCATGTTCCACAGCTCAAATAACTTTTAGATTTATCTTTCTGGATGGATGAATGGATGGATAGATGGAGAAAGTAAGATGTTCAGCCTCAGGAAGAAGTTGTGATTTCATCAAGCACTTCCCAGCCACTGCATAAACCTCCACAGCCCTTACTTTACTGATGCCAGAGTTCTTACATCAGTAGAAACAAAAATGAGGTGTATGGGAGACATTAAAGAAAGGGGGAATGGAGAAATTGTTCTTCCCTCCCCTCCTCCCTACTGCCACTCATCCAGCAGAGCTTCAGACATCTTCAAACCTCTGACAACATGGCATCTCCAACACACCAGTAGCATTCAAATCTATCACTGAATTTCATTTCTAGCCTCAATTTACAGAAGCAGCTACTATGGACATCAGATGTTAAACTATTATTATTATTTACAACAGGCTCTAATATAAAAATAAATCTCACACTTCTTTTGACTTATTTCATTTTTTTCTCTTCATAAGAATCACGATGGACATTTATTATATTGACATATATGACACTGAATAATGGCTGTTTTTCATTTAGGGCTTGAACACCAATATCTTATCTATATGAAATTATTTGCTGAGGAAATATTGAATAAACACACACTGTGTAGCCTGGTCTACAGCTGGAATTTATGGAGTGAGTAATCCACTACCACAAAAACTGCTAATGGTATAATTATTTATACACAAATAACTCACACCCTATTTCAAAATACTATTTTAAACAATGATGACAGTGTTTATTGATTGATGCTATTCTGTTATTTTTCTGCTAATGTGCTATTCCTAAAAGCCCTCTTCCAGCATACCAATTCCATGTTAAGTAAACATGTGAGACCGTGGTGAGGAGTATGACAGTTCTTTCCCTCTTTCACTGCTCCAGTTGGCCTCCATGAGTTAGCTGTTAGAGGATGAGCTACTGAAAGTTGAGCCTCTTGTACTCATGGAGATTCCATGTACATTTTAGAAGCCCTGGAAAATCAGGGTTCTAAAATGCATAGGAAGCTCCTGCCTTTAGACATTTGTCCTCATAACTGATGACAGGAACAACAATGGAGGGTGGAGCTAGCATACTTCTATTCACTTACCTGTTTACTTAACACCAAACAAGACTTCCTGAAAGAGCTATAGATTCATATTACTGCAGCTAGAGTGTCTATTAATAACAGAGCATTTCAAACTCCCTTAAACTAGCACTCCATCCATTCTGCCAGCTAAGCATGCCTCCCACCAGTTAAAC